TTGCTGCTTTTTGTTACTCAAAAATTGCCTTCATTTTTCGGTATCGATTCCCATCTATCATTTAAAACCGAGAAATGAGAATGACGATGATCAAGTAACTGATATTAACATTTACCCAACAATTCAAGCATTATTATCCTATCGATACGGTACTCATTATATTCTTTCTTATGCAGTTCGAAACAAGTTTCATTCGAACTTTTGTAAATGTTATAGAATGATAGAAGGTCGATCGATATTGCATAGAGTGAGTTGGCAGTACCAAGAAATTGCTAAAAGTTCTATTTAAAATCAGACAAATGTGGTGCATTGTATTCATTGTCGTTCACTTGAATACTTTAATCACTAAAAAAATATATGTTGAGAGTGAGAAGGACTGCATGTAATAATTATAATTTGTTAAACTTGAAATTAGAAAGAGGAATGTTGTTTAAAAAAATGCAAATCAAAGTAACTATGCAAATTTGATTTTTAATCTATCAAGAAAAAGTAAGATAGGTAGTAAGACATGTAGTGGCGACGACAAATCACCGTCAGTTGACCGTAAATGAACCAGCAAATATGTAAAAATTGTTTAAATAGTTCACAATTAAACAAAAAAACGAGTTCTCTATCTGAAAAAAAGACTCTATGCGAGCAAAATTTTTTATTAACAAATTAATTACTCATCCACTCAACATCCTCATCTTTTACGAGAAAAAAATAGTGTTAATAACCTGAATAGCTCTACTCTCCGTGCAAGACTTATCGGAATATCATCTTTTTAAAATTATAGAGTTAAAAAGATCTTTTAAAATTACAAAATGACATCATAAAAAGAATTTATAGTCAATAAAATTAATGTTTCAAAGGACATAGATTACTTTTCTCTAATTTCTTCAACGGCAATAAGCAATGACGTTATAATTCGTATTCACTTATAAATGTCTGTATTGAGCAAAGTATACGCATAGAAAAAATCGATATGTGCCAAATTATTTATCAATATTGGTCGAATAGCCAATTTCCCGCAATTTGATGTGCAATTAAACTAAAAATCTGAAGATTGAGAAATTCGTTGTGTGACTGTGATCGAGGAAACGGAAACGATTTAATAGTCCGTATGTGATTAATGGTGAGAAGGCTAATACATTACAACCGGATTCTCGGGAAGGACGGAGATAATGAGAATGCAGACCGGTTTAAAAATCCGCCCGCTTGGCTTCGGGTTCTTTACGTCTCAGCTCACCTTTCCACCTTTCCCGCCCCCTCCTTTTCCCTCTACCTGCCTCCACACCAATTTCAATGATTGTTGTCAGCAAGCGAAAAATTACCTCTCTTTTGCGACAGGAATAATAAATAGAGCAGAAGCGATAATAGCGAGACTTGTTTTATCTCTATGTACCACGACTCTTCAAACATTTTAGAAGCGAAAAATGTGCGATGATAGCTCGTCGACATCTCATCGACCCACCAAATTCATCCATTTCCTGAATTGCTTTCTTAAACGGACCGCATATATAGCTGCCGATTATTCACGTACGGTTATCACGGTGAGTGAATCAAACTTCTAAAGCACATTTTACAACTTGTCAATATTTTTATTGCACATGACTAGCCGTTAGCCTGAACCAGTGATGACATTTATGGATAGATATTCCGATATTCCTGATATTTCTGTGGATCTGAAGGTTGAATTCAATGATTGTGAAAAAGAAATTTTAATTGAGAAAGGCATTAGCAGCATTCATGACGAAATAAAACCACATGATGATTTTTTCTTAGAAAAAACAGTAGTTTCTATTTCTGCTTAATAACTGCTTTCTATGTTGCTTCCAAGCTGTAAATACTTGCAATTTCGCAGTGAATTTTAATAAAAGTAAATTAATTACTAAAAATTGATCCTAAGTTTATTTAATAAGAATTTTAAAATGTTAAAAGCAGTAGAAGTAAAAGTAAACCGTTCAGAACAAGCTGATTTATCAATGCTTTTTGCATTTATTCATTCCTCAATCACATTAAGAATATTATGCTTAAAGCCGGATCGATTTTATTATTCTAATGCTCTCAGCGATTAACACGCAATTCCAATTTCCACTCACTTTAAGTGAACCTACCTTTAAGGCATTTTCTCACAATTTTCTAACTTATTGAACTCAAATTAGTTTACAGATTCTCTTTATAAATTCTCGTCTGCAAACTGCTTTAGATAGATGTTTTAAAAACAGTATCATATCAACACATTTGCAAGCTGTTGCTGTGAACTTACTGCAAAAAAATCAAATTTTAAAATTTTCTTTTTTACGATCAAATGCCTTAGTACTCTGCCATAAACAAATGATAATAACAAAATTTTGCAGTTCCTTCGACAATTAAGTTGCCATAGTACTCGAAAACCCTTTTAAAAAATTGTCAATATTCTTAACCTCAAAAATAAAAAAACTAGTCCGATGAGTGTATGCTTGAAAATTGCATTGTTAAAACCTGTTCCAATTTCTTTTCGTTTTTGCCCCAAAAAGAAGAGGAAGAGAAGAAAGAAAATAAAAAGAAGGTCGTTTCGTTGAAATCATTCTCCACATTTGATGTATAATAATGAAAAATTTTGACTGGCCATAGGGAGTAAATTTTACCATAATATGCCTGTTGGATGTAATTATTTTTATTGTTCCACTTAATGGAACAGTTTGCAATAATGATTTACAAAAATTTGGTTCTATTTTAAAAAATACGCAATATCTTAGAAGGACTTGAAATATTCTGAAACTGTCTTGAAACTATAATAATTAAAAAGAATTTAGTGACACTGGACAATTTAATTTTACCATGTTCAGTTTTATCTTTCTCAAGAATAAAGTCTCAAAACATTCCATTATATGAAATGTTGAAATTCTAAAAGTTTTCATTGTGATATTCATGAAAAAAATTATTTCCGCATATCACAGTTATTAAGACTCCTCATTTTATTTTATTTATTTTTATTTATTCCAATCAATAAGTGTATGAACAAAATGAACTGGCTGATAGAAATTAAAAAATAGAGAAAAGAATAAATTCGTAATCGAGCGCAGCTTGGAATTGTTAAAGGACTCAAGAATAGGTCTAATAAATGACCCAAATGAGTAACTGATAAGTTCTTGAATGATCAATAGCTGTTAAATTAAAATTACGTGATCCATCAATCATGCTAGGGTTAGCAAAATATATATCTGAAATTCCAGGTTTCATGGCATATACCTAATGATTTATGCTATTTATTATCGGTGTATTTTCAGTTAGTAGTGTTGGTGACGATATTAGCATCCTTAAAATTATTATTTGTGAAACCGAAGGATAATCTGCAATCAGGCTATACACCATCAAATGCTCGAGCCTTCAGTGAATTAGAAGTTTTCCGAAAATTCAACGATGGTAAAGATCCGGTGGTGGTAATTATCATCGTTATGGCAAAAGATGGTGGTTCAGTTGCCAGGCTTCCTCATTTGAATGAAATTCTGAATGTTATTGACTATGTGGGGACACATTTCCCGGTCAAGAATTACACCTATTACCGAATGTGCAGAAATTTTTGTGATATCAATGAACCAGTTCGACAATTCAGAGTAGACTACTTAACATTTTTTTTTTTTCTTTAAAAAGTCATTGCTATCATTTTGCATATGCAACAACTTTTTTCCTCCGATCACTGGACTTTGAAAAGTTAGTCTTTTGCCTAGTGTTTTTGAAAGCTTATTTATAATGAAATTCCTCTCATCAACTATCACAAACTTTTTATTATTATTAATAATCATTAAGCACTTTGAACTCATTATTAATTATTATTATTAAGCATTTTGCCAACATAAATTGGCATAAAATTAATGTAGCAAGGAAAGAGACGTATTTAGATCACAGATATATGAGATAACAAAGAAGAAAAAATACTTAAATCATTGGTATTGACATGACTGGCTTATTTCTATTATAAGTTGAAATTGACAAAGGTGTTATACCATTCATGTGTAATAACTTTGGTTTCCTTTTTTTCCGTAGTAGCAAATTAAAACAAAGAGAAGAAATTGGTTAATTTCCAGAACGGATTACTTCTCAACACTGCGAAACATCTCGACAAAAATACTAGCGGAAGCGATACAAATAACAGTAGTGGTAGTGATTTGATTGAACTTTCATTTCCCATAATGCAATTATTCGGCCGCGATCTTGATTTATCACCTTATTTCTTCGGCGTTGAATATACAGCTGGTGGTGTAAATCGAATTTCTGGAACAAATATCAAATATGTCAAATTAGTGGCGTTACATTTCCGAACACAACAACCAAAAGAATGGACCAGCGATGATACATTTCACTGGGAACGTCTCGTTGGACAATACTTTAGGAAGTAAGAATCATTTTACATTCCACTCAGAGATAAAACAAGTAACAAATCTGCAAAAATATAAGAATAAAATTGGTCATTGAGATGTCACAGATCATTCGCGCTTAACTAAGAATGAAAATCGTATAAAATTAGAGCTGACAGCATAGTAGGAAAAAATAAGTTTCAGAGTTCTTCAAATAATTTTTAATCCTTCTTTTCACAAGATTTTTAACTTCGTTAGCTGTTATCTTCTTTTTCTATCTTGTTTGGCAATGTTAATCTCTTTGAAGTACAGCGTTTCAATTCTCTCTCTTTTTTCGTGTACCAATTTAAATCCCAAATGAAGGACTTTTGTATTTTATCTGGCACCATTAGATGGATTTCCATAATTTAAGTTTTGCAGTGAATACAATAACTCGTTAATTCGACCAATCGCATTTTCGTTAGCTCATACGCAAGATGAAATCGTTCGCGCAGGTCTTGCGTTATTGCCTTACATACTAATTGGCTTTATTATGATGTGTATATTTGCTATTGGAACAGTTAGTATCAGTTCAACATACACAAGACAGGTTATTTTGTAGTCCAATTACCTCTATAAATTTTGCAGAAGCTTTATTAGTGATGCCTGCTTCCTACGACATTCCTGCAAAATTTTCAAAAAAACTGCCACACTTTCAATAAGCAGAATAAATTGATATTCGGCAAAATATGGAAGAGCCGTTTTCCAGTTAAAAATCTTTCTAGTTTCATCACTGGTATTTTGTGAATTGAATAAGAGTTTTAATCAGTTATAAAATATTAAATTTTTGTCAGTTTGCCCTTTGTTGATCTCAGGCTAAACACTGCAAAGTTTTCAGAAAATGCAAGAAATGGTGCTTAAGACTAACCTTGATTTGATTTAATGACTTTAAAATTTAAGAAACATTTTCAAAAGATGCTACCCTGAGAAATATCCATAAATGTCATAAGATAATGTATCGCGATCTGGTGGAGCTCTTTTCTTGAATCCTTCGCAAAAATTTTCGTTTTGATATTTTTCAATGTATGGAAAATATGTCAGAGAACTTTTGTGCATAAAAAGCAATTTTTTTGTATGAAATGTTTGTAATTTTAATGAAGAATCCAACCGACTGATAAGTTCATTTTTTTAAATTGATAAAGCCTCATGCATTTTACATGTATGCATTATGGAAGATACATTATGTAACTTTATCAGAAGTTTAATTTCTTTAACAAAGAGAAGAGAATCAGAAGATCGAGCTGAATAAGTAGAGTGATTGGTATTATTCAGTAATTTCTCTTTTCAGCAACATATTTCTTTTGGGGACTTTCGTTTATTGTATAAATAAAAAGAATATCTGAAATTTGAAAATTAACTCATTACATTACAGTTTTCCAAAATCAAAATAATTTATGCTGTTATCGGATGCATCACACCATTAATGGCAACATCAGCGGCTCTTGGACTTTTGATTTTGCTGGGTCTACGGCCTGGTTCCATTCTCTGTATTACACCGTTTCTTATTTTAGCTATAGGTATCTTCTTTTTATTCACCATTTCTATTATTATAAGTGATTTATTTATTATTTGCTAAAATGTTTACCTTTTTAGTAGTAAATTTAGAAGAGCCAGAAACAATAAAATTGCCTGAAAATCAATGTCATTCTAGGGGTCGATGATGCCTTTTTAATGATCAGTGCATGGAACAGAACAGATATTGAGATGAGGAATGAAATTGCTACGCATAAAACAATTCGGGAAAGAATAGCGGTTGTAAGTTTCTAAATGTTTTCTTCGAATTTTTATTTTCGAGAGGAATTTGCATTGTTCGCAGTGCTTTTTGACAGAAGATCAGTTTTGTTACATTATAATTCATTAGGTTCTAACTGATATTGGGCCATCGATAACTATAACATCATTGACAAACATGTTAGCCTTTGGAATTGGAGTGTTTACGACACCAGCACCCGAAATCCGATTACTGTGTATCGCCAATGCAGCAGCCATTTTTCTGGATTATGTGTATACCATAACGCTTTATGCTGCTGTAATGTGTATTGGTGGCGAAATTGAAATGCAACAAGAGCGTACTTATGCAAATTCTATTGTTCTTGAACGAAAATCTGAGGAACCGTCGATGGTTTGTTAATTTTAATAGATTTTTTTTTTTTGAACAAAGTAACGGGAAAAGGGTGGAGAGAGAAGAAAGGAATAGGATTGGTAGGTATAGATTATGTAGATTAATAATAGATGCCTCTGGAATGGCTATTCTAGGCATGGCATTCCTCATCTCACTTCAATAACGTCGTAATCATTATTGATGTCAAGCAGTGCTGATAAACTAATATATAAGGATTGCATCAAGCTTAAATGTTTGTATTAATCAACATTGTCAAGTTTGAAATAATTATTTAGAATATGAATTCTAAAAGGTTATGCAATTAGAAATGGTGATATGAAGTATCTAAACTGCATTGCTTTGCCTGTACAATTTAAATATTATGCTAACGAATTTGGCTCTGTATATCAACCATCTCCTAAAAACCATTTTTTTTTTTGATGACATAGTCTATATTCCAAAGTTTTAATCTTATTTTTTTTAGGTCACAACTTTCTTGAATAATTACTGCGAGTATCTATCAAGTGGCTTCACGACAATTTTGATATTTATATTGCTTACCATTTATTTTACAGCAAGCATCAAATATGCGTTGAGAGCGAAGGGTTGTCTGACACCAGGAAAATTATTTTTGGCTGATTCACCTATGATTGAAGTACTTAAGCAAATTTTCGTTTTATTCTATGTTAGTTTAATTTATAATATTTCAATGAATTAGAACGAATTTTCAGGTAAATGAATTGCACAGTAAATTGATTATGCCATCATACACTTTCATAACGGTGTTCATCTTGGAACCAGGAGATTTACGAAATTTATCCAGACGAGAACGTATCAAAGAGATGGTATCTCAATTTGAAGCAATACCTGGATGTAAAGGTTCCAGGTTTACTCATTTCTGGCTTCGTGATTATGAGACGTATTTGGAGTCAAAGAATGAAGAAATTGATGGAAGTGAATTTGATGATTATACCTCAGATGATTTATTTAAATTTCTGGAATGGCCTGAATATGAGGCCTTTGGTGGATTCATGAAATTTGACAGTCAAACTAATCGGTAACTAATTTCTTCTGCTCCAGCAAATACTAATTTCTGAATTTCCACCTTTATTTTTAGAAGTGTAATTTCTGACAATAATCTATGAAATATGTCCAGAATGATTTTAGAACCGAACTTTTGCTATTATTGGTTCACTGCAAGGTGCTCTTTTTGCTGTGCACAAAATTCCTTAGTTGGTAGGAATATGAAAGATTATTATGTTTTCTTATGTTTCATGGACAGAACTTGGTCATAAATTTATTCAAATAAAATTTTTGATACAAATGAACAATGTTAATAGTGGCTTAGAAAAATCTGAGTAGCTTTTATGCAAATAAGTTTCAGTCTTACAGCCTTTTACGTCACGGTCACTTATCATGGTAAAAATCAGTCCGATTGGATACAACGATTGAATATGCTAAAAGCGTGGCGAACAATTGTTGATCGTTATAAGATATATTTTTATATTTTATAATATTGAAAATACACAAACTCACGCAAGAAGCTTTTGGAGTTAATTCATCAAATTTCAGCTCAAAACAAATAACCAATTTGAAATGGCATGCACTTTCTGTATTGTGCCATTTCCACACGCAAATTTCATTTAGTCTGAACGCCAACTTTTATAGGACCTTGAAGCATCAATATATGAAGAAGAAGCTTTATTCACGGATCAAATTGATTCGTTGGTAGGAACAACTCTGCAAACATCTCTTGTGATACTGGCATGTATGGCAGTGGTGTGTTACATTTTTATGCCTGATCTTTTAACCGTAATGATTGGAATCTTATCGACTGCATCAATATGTATTGGTAAGTTTAGTATGCCATATTTTTAAAATTTAAATTGCTAAACTAGTTTAAAAATAACATTTGTGAGATTTCGTAAATAGTTTTGAAAACTAAGAAAATGAGGTCCAAAAGTGATTTTGTAGGAGTGTTTGGCATCTTGACCTTTTGGAATGTCGATGTCGACCCGGTTTCGATGGCAACAATAATTATGTCTATCGGTTTATCAGTTGACTTTCCGGCTCACATCACTTTTCACTATCACCGCACTAGATTAAATCCAAATGTGACATCGGTACAAGAACGACTTAAGCATACGTTCAACGTCGTTGGTTTTCCATTGCTTCAGTGCAGTTTCTCAACATTATTCTTCGTCCTAATTCTACTTCTTGTTCCCAGTTATATGAGCGAAGTATGTATTATTTGTAAAATTTTAACTGTCGTCCTCATAGCACATTGATTCTTTCGATTTTATTCTTAACTTCAAAATTTTCACGACTCAGCATACTTTTATTTGAGACAACATTTTTTATTACAGGTTTTTACAAAAGCTGTTGTGATAGTAATTTCATTGGGAATGCTTCATGCGCTAATTATTGTTCCAGCTGTTCTTTGTGCATTCTCAAATATTTATCAATGCTTTTTATTTATAAAACATTATAAGGTTATCATTTCTTTGTTTATACAACATAGCCTTATCAAACATTGCTTCAGGAAACGTTCATAATCATTTGGAATTAAATTTATATTTGCAAATTTGAATAGAATCAAACATTGTGCTTTCGAAAATTTAAATAGTTCTTGAAAGCTGTTCAAGTGGAGAAAATTTCACAGTTGCCATATTTTTAATGTAATAGTTGAAGTCACTTTTAAATCGTATTTTTTTCCTTAAATTTCAGTTGACATCATTCACTAGTAGAGTAACGACAAAAACAACTGATTCATTTATTGCTGTACAACAGTCCGGATTTACATTTCATTCTACCACAAAGCCGTCAGAGCAGTGACAATTATGCAATATGCAATTCTTTTTGGATTATTATTTATAATTGTACTTGAGCTGAAAAAGTACTTCAAATGGAAACTTCCCAAACATCTTACTTGTTCAGATTCCAGAAATCAAGCTGCTGAGAATCTTTATAAAAATTTAACTATATGACGGATTTGAGATACAAGTACTCTGATAAATTATTTGCCAGAGTATGATAAAAGAATGAAATCGTCAAGTTTTATAGTATTTCAACTGTTTTGATGATTTCAAAATTGATGAACTACACTTGAACTGATAAGTATATGAATTACTGTTTATTATCGTTTTTCTTGTCAAAGACAATTCCCAGGCATGAAATGAATAAGAGTCCGTCTTAAAGGACGACACAAAATTGTTGACATCTTGTTTTATACCTTTGAGTACAGAACAATTTGTCTTTGTTCTGTCTTTACAATCCTCATTTTGATTCCACTTAAAGACATTTCATTGGAGAATTACTTTAATTATCCACAGTAAATCACTTTTTCAATTAAGCACCATTCAAAGACAAAATGATTTATTAATATGAACTTCGACATTATTCTATGTATTACAAATCTTCTATGTATTACAAGACTGGATATTATTTAAAAAAAAGCGTAAATGAAATTTGGAGCTTGTATACCACTCCCAATAAAGAATACTCTCTGATGTAGACAAATTCAACCTAGAAACAATTATATACTGCTTTTATTCTGGAAATTGAGGATATATTGAGAAAGTTTTTGAGATTTTCACAACTTTTAAAGGCTGTCCAGTTAATAAAAATCTTGAAACAATATGCAAATCTTGTTCTGAGAACAAAATTGAATTCTTTCTAATTGACTGGATACTATAAGCTATTAATATATTTGGAATTCATATCACTTAAATTAAGCTTAAGCATCAATATAGACAATATTTAAAAAATTCATTAATGTACGTAAAGATCTTCAAAATAGAAACCTTAACCATTCCAGACTAATTCTCTTTTTTTCTCCTTACTCCAACCTAACAATTAGCAACTAAGTACAGTATTCTCACAACTGTTATTATTAACTTTTAAAAAATTTCGTGCTTAACTGTCAAATATTTTAAAATTTAACACTGTTGAATTCACTGTCTCAATACTTCATATTTGCACTGCAGTTTCCAAATAATATTTATTCAGTAAAAGATTATCACTTATACCATTAGTGTCTCCGTATTTATTTGTAGAACAAAAGAAGATTGTTTGTGAATATGACGAATTATCATTCAATTAAAATATGTAATCAGTACATATTTTCATTAAATACAGCACCAACTTTTTTGTTTTCTTTGCAAACTCATATCAAGTTTCAGCACATTTTCCAATTGCTGATCCTCACATTCTTGCAACTTCCTAAATAAAGGAAAGTTGGATAAGCCGAGAAAAGAGCAAAAATGCACCATTTTAGCTCGAAAATTCTTCCCTTTTTTTAAAACGATCCGTTAATGGAAATAATATCTAGTTTTATCTCCAATGAGAACATCTGGAATAATATGTGTGTAATTTGAATTCTGAATGTTTTCAGGATAAGTATTCTCTTTCTTTCGTCTCTTAATTTGATCATTTGTTTCAATTTTTTAAATGATAATGATATCTAATTATTTGAGTACTTACAAAGATTTTAGATAAAATTATAAAAAAAAATTACATAGCAACAGCCCTCATGCAATCGTTAACACCAAAACCATTAAAAGCACTCGTTTCAAAAAACATCATACCAAATTCCTGTAAATTTAGCAAATATTTCGGAATCAGTTACCTTGTGGTAGTTAGGAACGCCTTCAACAAACACAAAAATGGATAGAAATCCTTACTTCAGCAAGTTTTTTGCCATGTTTGTAAGTAAGCACTCTGTCCTTATCATTCGCAAACAAGTCAACCTATAAATTTGACATTTGTACCGCTGAAGATTAAAATAATATCCAGTTGTTACTGGCATTACAGCAGTATCTTGTATTATGGCAAAGATTAATAAACATAATACGAGTGGATTAAAGACATCAGTTTCTAGCACTAATAAAAAACGATTATTATCAGTTTAGGGATATTTGTTTTCGAGAAAATATCACTTATTATTATTATTATTATTATGCAATCACAGGGTTTGAAAAAATTGAACTAATACCTTGTTCCCAACCAAACACATTACACAACTTTCGTCCACGCCAACTTTTACGGAAGTAATCCAATTTCTAACATTTAAAAAAGACTGCTCTGAGGTTACATCATACATTAATATGATACCATCCGCTTTTCGAAAATACTGTTTTGTTATACTTCGAAATCTATTGTAAATTCCATATTAATGGCATATTAACGCTTATGAGAATAATGTAGAAATAATGACTGAATGATAAGTTAGAGATTTTTTTGTAAGTGATTCAAGCAGAATGAGTCCTGAATTTTGATAGAACTAATTCATTTCCGGTAATATGTCATGATGCAATAATATATAAAGTATAAAGCGTATTGGAATACTAATATCAAATTTATATAATTTGTAGAGAAATCCAGAAATAAAAACCTTTCTTGTCCAGCGGTATCCCATAACTGCACAGCAACAATGCGATCACACAGACGGATTGTTTTAATAGTAAAGTCAACTCCAATGGTAGCATTAAAAAGAAGTTTGAATCGATTGTGACAAAATCGATGTAGGAAGCAAGTCTTACCAACAGCCGAATCACCCACAAAAACTACTTTGAATATACGATCTGGCAAGAAATCTGGCCGTGGCTATAATTTGTTTTAAAAAAGAAAAACTTTTACTCTTATCATGCATATTACTAAACTGGAAAAAGTTCTTATATATGAATTTTAAAATTATATATATACATATGGAAAAGTCTTGTGTAGCTTCCCACAAATAAAAATTGTAGCGATCTATTCACTTAATTTGAATCATCTAAATATGAATTTACTACATTATATGTAACACTCGAGGGCACATTTAAATTCCAAATTTATTTTCGATAATTGATACTCGAAACTGAGTTCAGTTTTTAGTGTGGATTGATGAAACTTTACCGTAGATCGTGGCTCCTCCTTATTTATTATTCTACACTCCCGTAATTCCTGCACGTGCAAACAATCTTACTAATTGTAACGAATTGCTTACTTAAATTGAATCACTTAAATATAGAAATTGATACTGTCAACTTTTATAAGGAGCCTTCGAAAACATTTTTATTGACATAGTCTAATACCTCTCAAATGCAAATTTTCTGCTTTCAAGAAACCTCTTGGTTTTTAATTATCCCTCTACCACACAACTTCGAAAATACTTATATGTTTAAAACTACTTTTTTTTACTGCTTTAACTATTTTAATTCATTAGTTCCTTTGCGCAGAAAAAGTAAATCAACAAAATTTCTCATTTCTAAGTTGGAATAACAAAATACTAAAATTTTCTATTTGTAATCTTCTGAACATTCAGAATAACTTAAATGTATCCCTTGGGACGATAACTTTATACATATAAAATTGATGCGTATTATTAATTTGTTTTCGGCTAGAATAGTGTGTCAGTGAAACTTCTAGGTGGTTTTTTTCAACTTCAAAATTTCCTAAAAAACTAACATTAGCCAGTGATCGAGATTCGGGTGATAATTTCATGTCCGGGAAATATATACATTTGTGGAAATCTTGTTCACTTGTCGTTTTCCTATTCCGCTTTCGGAAATCGTCCAGCTGTAATTCACCACCTTTTCTTTCCATTAGTTAGCAAAGATTTCATTATACTATTAAAAAAACATTTAGCCTTTCTTCCTTACTACCTCTCCTTTACCTTTAATCTTTTGATTTTCAAAAAGAGCTTATTATAATAAATTTAAAGTTTCGTTTAAAAATGATAATCACACCACTTTTCAATAGATTTAAACGATTTCATTTACATTATTTACCAATATTTAAGAAACTATAAATGCGCCATATTTTCATAATTTAAATATGTGAAAAATTTGAGAGAATTTTTCTGGATACTAAGGAAATTAATAATAGTCATACACGGAGGATGGTAACACATTAATTATGCATTCAACGAGAAATTCATTTAAAAATAATTCATTGACAATTTTTCATTCTAAGTATTAACACAAAACCCCCTTGAAATTTTGCTTTATTTCCGTTGATGATTCCGTTGGAAGATCACATTGCGATGACAGATCCGTGTTCTCTACAGTAAATGGATAATCGGTTATTGGTTCCCTGCAATGTATTTCTTTTTAAATAATAGAGTGGATTATAATTTCACTTATTTCTCCGAGCTGAAACTGAAATTTATTATGAGCTTGTTCTAAAAATTTTTCAAATTTTAATAATAGAAAGATCCAGTGAATATTGAACAAATTTTCGTTAACGGGTTAAGATAGTGATTTAAAAAGAGACTTTTTGGAAATTTTTAGACATTTAAAGAAACCAAAACTGTTCGCGAATTAGAATGTTTGAAAACTTCCTTAGTTTTTGTGATACTACCCAACATAAGTATAGAGGACAGGCTTTTAAATGGCATATTATTAGGAATCTATAATTTAATAATTTAATATATTATTAAAAATTTATAATTATGATATAATTTAATTTTGAAAAAAAAGGTAAATGACTTTGAAATGATTCGTACACCTGGTAGAAAAAAAATGCATTTGTTGCCTTCTCTTCCCTTAAGCTGCTGCTCATTTGTTGCAAAAAATATATTACTAAATGAGATGAAGGTAAGTCCATTTAACAGTAACTTGCCGTCTAATTGATAATTAAAAGCAACATTAACGTTAGTGTTATTAGAAATTGCTATTCATTTCCTTCTACTTTTTTCGAAAATCCTAAGAATCCTCAGAACATACAATAAAATATCACGGAAGAAATTGGTCATTTCTAGTTAAAAATGACATAATAAAAAAAGAAGCGCAATTGTAAAGAAATGTTTAGTTAGATATCAATAGGATTGGACCTCTTCCTCTTAAACTCATTTTTAGAATAAGATAAATTATTTCATGTAAATTGAAATCTATTAAAATGTGAAAATGTTTGATAAATGAAAAACAACAAACACTGCCTGATGAAATGTTTCATTGCCATCCGTTCCAATTGCTGCTACAGAGAGCTCGTCTTTCAATGAACCAGTAAAATCATAAATTTCCTGATGTTGTAAATCTTGATGCTTTTGGTCACGATCCCTATCATGTCCACTACAGTTTTGTTTTCGTTGTTCAATAATTTCGGATGGCTTTTCATTCGGCAATGTTTTGTCAACTTCTGTAACAGTTACAGCAGAAATCGATTTTCGTCGAGTTGATTTTGTTCCTTCATTCATTTCCTTTTGATCAAAATCCATCACACTTCCACTCATTTCCTTCTCTTTCTTTTTTTCATTTTTCTTCATTACTTTCCCATCATTCTCTTCTAAAACTCCATCACTTCCTGTTAAATACAGCCCTTCTTTTGACTTCTGAAATGATTGCCATTAATTAATTGATCAGCTATATAAGTGAAAAGTGTTTAAGTGAAATTTTAAATTAGTAATTAATGAATGATTACTACGAAAGTGACAGAAATGAAATTGTAAATAGCTTAACTGATGAATGAGTAAAATTAAATATCTTAAAGCACGTTTGAGAAAGCGAGAACGGAACCTACAGCAGCGTTAGAACTGAAAGAGCTTTGCACAGATCTGGTTTGCTAATGAAATCTTAGTTTTTGCTCAATATTCTGCTTAAATTTGATTTTGTTCAAGCATATATGAAATTCACAAGAACTTTGCTTCTGTTTCTTTAAAATTTTCTCTAAATTACACCTGCATCTTTCCACAGAATGGATACAAAAACAAAGAAGTTTTCTTACTTCATTTGGAAAATTTAAAAATTACGAATCAGAAAATTTTCAAAATTCACTAGTCTTAGAATTTCAGAATTTCATCTTATCTACGTGAGCCACTCACTAAACAAGAAAACTTCTAAAGAATTTTTTTAAGCCATAGATCGAAAACATATTATTTTCTCATTTACCGCAGCATTTCGTATTTCTGAATTGCAAAAAAAAGCAATGGCCAAGCGAGTACCGAAGGAATAAAAATGTTATTTTCATGACATTTCTGAACATTAAAATAGATGTTTTGTTTGTTTCAATTAAGGTCGTCTATTTTCGTCAAAATCGCTGTGAGATTTTTTCTAATGTCGAGTATTTCGTAACGGCAAAATTATCATTTTAGCTCGATAAGAAACCTTATAAACACTTCAAATATCATTTCAGCATTCAGCAATTTTTAACTAAATCAATTAATGTACTGCAGAAATAAAAAGCAAACCTTTGTTAGGTGCGAATCATTGAAGGCACTTCGTAGAAGCATAGGTTCTGTAATATATCTCTATGCATGTGATATTCAAATTATTATTTTAAAAAATCAAAGTTAATGAATATCCAAAAGGATAGCATTGTTGCTAAAATTTTTAATAATCTCATTTGACAGAACTTTAGTACTATCTGAATGGTAAACTTACTGATATTCTCAATGAATTGATTTTCAGTAATATAATTGGTTTTAAAAATATCTGCATTATCAAAAAATAGTTCCAGTTGTTGCTGTGATATATTTGGTATCATCCCATCAATACGAGCCAAATCCATTTTTATCACAAATCCCTTCCCATTATGATCGCATAATAAAAACATTTTTCGGGCCTGTTAATATCCTAAGTGTTTTGTTATAGTTATAACAAGCAAAAAGCAAATTTTTTAATGAATGATTTAAAATTTTTCAGTTCGTATTTGTTTCTTCGAAATTTAATCTGTTAATAAAAAATTTCTTAAATTTGATAGTAATAATTTAACCTGTTCTGTGAGCAAAATATCTCGATTTTGAAGCGCTAGCGAAGACAATAGTTTTTCATCCTCCTCCAACAAAATATCTACCATCATTGCTATGCTACTGTTTATATCCACTGCTTTGGTAAAGAAGTAGTCTTGAGTTTTTTCTTCCTAATTTATTGACGATAAAGCTACTATACTTACATATCAGGTGTTGAGAAAATCGAAATAACCTTATGATGTAAAATATCTATACAATATCAAAGTGTTAATGTATTTGTAAAATTTATGTTATTGGAATTCCCTGTCTCAATTATTTTCAGTCAAATGGTAGAATATATTTTATTACTGTTCCAAGAATATCGTCAAAAATTGTTGTCGCTCGTCACAAATTCTTGATAACGAAATATGCTTTGATTAACTTTTGATATACTAAAGAATACCACTAATGATTAATGTCTTATGATTTCATGTTTATCATTAGCTTCATCTTTCAAATGACCAGGCGATTCCTGCTTCTTGTATCAAATAACCTTATGACTTTTTTTTGTACCGGTAGTTCCGTCTACAAATGACCAATTATCTGTTTATTATAACCAGTACTCATCGAGCACCGCCAACTCGAAAGAAGCTTATTTCAGCGCAACTGCACCGGAACGAAGCGGTCTCATCAACTATATTCTCCCGAACTGCGGCCTAACCAAATCCTACCAATTCCTTATTCAAACTTCCAAAGGATTATTTCAATCATCAACAATCAAAAAGAAATCTATTGATTATAATCGCCATGTAATGTTATCACCAATCTTCCACGAAGAATAAAGCTTATAATAATAATTGTTCGTAAAACAACAAGCTTTTCAACCAAAAACTTTCGCGACATTACGATCTATCACATTAATCAAGAATGATTCAGATTTCAGTCTTTTAAAAGACATCTGAAAGCTTCGATCACCTTTGTAATGTAACTGCCCAAGCAGTTCCACTTAAATCAATGGAACGAACAAATAGGATCATTAGCATAAGTCATACATGTTGTAACCAAAAAAAGAACCATGTAAATGACAGCCAAGTATCGTATCAGAACAAAAAACCATCACTGATGATGATAGTTACAATACTATTTCAACGAACAAACAGTTTGCAGAAGGCTGGATTTTTTATGAATCTATTTCGTATGCACAGCTGTGTATAGCCCTCTGTCTATTCTTAAGCAAAATTTCATAAATCATATAGTAACGAAAGCAAAAACTTCTCATGATATGGCTTCGATACAGCTAAGCTATTGCTTTAAAGTTTGGAATACTTTTACAGTTTCATCGAAGCTTTGTCTATGCACAATGCACTTACTGTTTTAAGTGAATGATGTGGTCGTTTTACGGATATAATATCATTTTTACATAAATATTACTGAAACCATCTTATTTCTTATCCTAGACATGTAAGAATATGTTACTTCTGAAAAAAAAATGGGGATCGATGATCATTCATAGCTTGGTTGATCAGAAAAATGTTTGCTTTTTCTTTACTCCTATTTCGAAAACAAAAGCAAATTTTCGTTTTTTATTGGTTAACAAACAATAATGTCATCGTTTGTTGGAAGCAAATTTTCGGTTTATTTTAAGAATTACTGCAAAAAAAATGAAATAATATTTTCAGCTATTCTAATTGGCTGATCTTGAGTAACGACAATGACAATGCAATATGTAAATATCAGACAAAAATAATAATAGTAATCCTAACTCATTCTGTCTCGTTCCCATTCGATTCAGTTCTGAAGCAGAATAGTTGCTTAATTCAAGAGAATTTTAAATATTGTTGAAATGAAACAGTATGGCAGAACTGAAATTTCGGCAACGAACTTCAGTACCATCGTTTTTTTGCCACAATTTTACGTAGTACGAAATTTGATTAGAACTGACCCATCATGTTAGTTTAAAATCTGTTTGCTGTTTTCTTGAGAATAATGACAAATAATCAGATGACAAACTGATTGGTATTCAGTCATTTGTTACTTATGTTTGATAACATCAACAGCTAAAGGAATACTAGAATTCCTTAACATAATTAAATGTTGGCTTCTCTTTGAATCCTTTCCATTTTATGAAACTTTTATCTATGTATGATATAAAACATGATATTGCATAGAAAAGCATGACCTGAATGTGACCTTAAATTTCAAAACTACCTCCCTTTTACCCTTTAGGCTTTCTAACAATATGTTTAAAGAATACTTTAAAATTTTGGAAAATTTGAAATTTGAAGAAACAACACAATCTGAGTGCTACTGACAGGAACAAAAGAGTATAAATTGGGAAATGTGAATTGGACATTTTGTTTGCGATGTTGCATACCCACTGATACGTCCTTTGTTTACTTAGAAGCAAAAGATTTTTGAGATTTTTTGGTGTCAGTTTTTTTTTTGATTTTATTTCATAATAATGTGAGTGGTCGAAGAGATGCTGTATGAACTGTTTTCACTAAGCGATATTCGGACTATCAGAGTTTGTGAATTCAACGCCACTTGGTGCCAGTGCCGGCCACAATTCATTCATCATCATCCTCTCAATGTCCAGTCCTTCTCTTCTACCTTCCGTTCCACAGGTTCTTTTTTGATTAAAACACCTTTTTATGCCATAAACATTCTCTTTTAATCAAATTCATAGCACCAATATATAAGTTTAAATATACATTGTTGCTGTAATTAATTTTGTCATATTATGTTTTGATGCATTATTCATTGGTGAACTAAAAAAACACTCATGAAATCAATAAATTCGTTATATTTTTGTGATATTTTAAATATTTCCAGCATTTAAATGCGTAACTTCAATGGAATGAGTCTCACGTCACTTGGAATTTTTTGTTCCTAATTTTCTAAATAGTATTTTGTTTATTCGGAAAGCTGAGAATCTGGCAAAATATTTTGATTCCATCATGCTTTAGTAGAACAGTCCATTAATCTTATTCTTCACTGCTTGACGAAATCAAATACTTATTTACCAATAATACTTACTTCATTTTAAACTTTTCTATAACAGAATTTTATTCTACAACTGCTTCACCAGTATGTTAATTGAAAAAATTCAAAGAAAGTTTTAGAGTTAACAATGAGGATTGAAGCAGAGTCTCCAATAAAATGATGGAAAAAATAGCAAATTTTGTCATTTTCATGCTTTTTTTACTGGGAGCAACCTCGGAGCAAAAAGAAAAGAGCAAGAAAGCGTCCGTACATAAATTGTTTGAAGCAAGTATTTTCAACTGATTGGTTGGGTAAGCAATTGCCGATTGAAGAAGCTTTGTTTTTTTAATCCTTTTCAATCTTGGAGACACACGGACACTCCCTACTAAGAAAGCGCCACCAGTCGGAAACGAAACCACAAATCCTTTTCCTGTTTCTCTTCTTCGCTGATTCATTTCTTCCGAAACTGGACACAGTTATATAGTCGTTATTTTAGAATTCATGTGATCTACTTCATAAATTTTCATTTATCGTAGGATGGGTTCCTATTGGTACTCATTTTGAATGATCCTTTGTTTTGAATTCCAATTTCTGTAATAAAATTAATTCTAGAAAAAATATTTCCTACAAATTCGAGACAACTTTTTTCTTTTTTTGCGGTCAAAAGCAATCAGTTTTTGAACGTAGCACTTCTAATGTGCATTAAAGATACTGTATATTTGAAAAGTTTAAATGATTCATTATTTTGTGTTATAGAGAAATAAATGATTTAAATCATGCAGAAGTCTCCGAAATAAATCATTCAAGAAATAATATATCTAGTAATAGTTCACTTTGCAAAAGCGATTATTCAATACTATAAACAAAGGCAAAATTCCTTTGAAGGACAGCTTTTTACTGAGTTAGACACTTTCAAAAAGGAATGTGTAGTTCTCAGATTACGAATCTGTCATACATTTTCAAATTTTTAAGCTATACATTTGAAAATTTGCTCAATTTATAAGTCAGTGATGATATGTTAATTGTAAACATAGCTTTAAATATTGTGGTTTATTAGACTTTATAAGTAGCAGAGTTCTTGTTCGGTGTTACTCATCAAGTCGTCTGAGTAAGTGACATTGAACAAGAAATCTGTCAAGAATTTATTCCGCAACAAAAAGTTTTCTCAAGTGCAACCTCCAACCAAAAGCTTTTGAATCTTCCAATGATTAATTATACATACTTTGGAATCTAACTTTAATTTAAAATTTAAATTGAGAGATGAATACATGCACGTATATGCGCACAAGTTAAAGACAAGTAATATATTATATCATGAGCCACTTTTCATAAATATGCTTTTGGGAAGATCTGAAAATTAACTTTCATAACAAACATTATAAGATTATCATTTTGATACGATGCTCTTTAGCTATAATTCATGTACGTGCACTCACACAGATAACATTTAAATAGGGAGAATGAATTGGAAGAAGTTCATCTGCTTATATTTGACGCTCAGTAACATTATCAGGACGTTACATACAAGTTTGAAAATTTCTTATTTCCCTGAAATTGCTGAAGTTTTCTGTACGTTTTTATTTATTGCTATTTTTCTTGAGAATTCGTTTGTCTTATGTTATTATCTTACACTGCTGAATTTAGAAAGAGAGGAATAGTGATATAACAAGAATAACTTCTTTAGTTTCTCCAACATTTATACATGCAAGCATCCATACTGATTAAAACTGTAACAAAAATGAGTTGATTTCATTAAAAATTTCCCAATGATTCATTTTACATCGTAAAATATCCCTATCAAAGTTTCAACTCGACCTTAGTCAATGTTCTGTTGACGTTAATATCAACTTATCCATGTACTCCATTCAATTTGTCTTTCAGTTCTCATCCGCTTTCAAATTATTACAGGAATTCTTAATATCAATTTCTCATTTCTTCTCAATTGCAGTATTAACCTCTTTTTTGCTTTTAACTTCTTCAGTGGGAATCGAACTTTTTTTTGGTCCAATTATCTTATCTTTTTATTTTGAAAAAATATTTAGATTCGGATGATATTTGCAGAATTGTTATACCATGACTGAGAAATATTTCACCTTTTTTAGAATTACTCCAGTAAGAATTTCTTATGAACTAAGTTGATGGTAGTAGTCCGAGTAAAGTGCTAGTAGCTGCGGAAATTTCTATATTTTATTTATAAGATTTTCGTTTTACTTGATTAGATATCAGTTTACAACTTAATTCGTTCTAGAGCTAATCATTAAAATAACAACAAAAGATCGGTAACATACTGCATTTGAAATGCGCATTAAAATATTTCGTCAAATTTCGAGTTTTTGGCAAAATCTCAGCATGAAAATCTTTGATAATTTTGTATGAATTATGACTATATGCAAATATAAATTTGAAAGATGTATATATAGGCCTTCTGTCTTTCCCCAAAAAAAGGTTCATCAATCTGCAAAAGTTCACTTATCGGCCAACTTTGTTGGCTTAAAATTGATGCTTAATAAAGATTCTTTTTTCACATTTTTTACAAACAGAACGTTATCGTAAAAGTATCATTTTAACGAAGAAAACAAACCTCCGTAGAGTAAAATTCAACTGTGCTGTACTTTCTTGTTTAAATTTAATTCTATTAAGGAATAAAAACTATAATTACACCCTGATTTTATAGTTTCATTTAATTTTCTTATTTTGCTCGTTTGCATACGGGTTGTTTTCTTTGCAAATTGAGAAAATGCAATATTGGGAAGATGGCTAAAGCACTCATTCAGGAGTCAATGACACTTTTTATTAAAATAATCATTTCAACTTCAACATGTTTTTTAATTTTTTTTCCCAATTTATTTTAACTGCTTCATTGCTCATTTCTTTCTATTTCCTGCTTTCCATTTCTTTCATACAAAATTGCACTTTTTTTTCTTCTGAAATTCGAAATTTGTTGAAGTGCATTATTTTTGAAAAAAAAACAGAACGTTATCGTTTTCTTTTGCACTGTTTACAGCAAATTTTAAAATAAAATTTGTGTTTTTGGAAATGATGGCATAGTTAAAATAAAATTCATTTTTTTTAATGATATTCCAGTAATAACCAATGTCAGCATTGATATCATTAAGTATCGAATGGAATAGAATACAATTAGGAAATGAACATATCAGAAATGCTGACCACGGAATGTCAATAGGTAACACATATTTTTGCATCTATGTGCTAACGTAGGAGCCAATGCAGTCTAAAGAAGCGTATTTGATCCATTCTAAGAGGAGTGAAGCATTGGCTTTCTTTAAATATGAATTTCGCCAAAAGGTCAAACATCGAAACGCATTCATAAGGCTTCTAATATTTGTAGCAGCTTCCAATAATTTCTTGAAACTAAATATTTTTTAAATATTTTGTCATGACATCTTGAAAAGTATTCCGATAAACGTGTCCAGGTCTATTTACGCAACTATTTAGAACTATTTTCCTCCTTCGAAGTATATATTTTAACAAAAAAGCTTCATTCAATTTAACGATTAACTGAGCAGACTTACCTAAAAAAAATGGAGGACTTAAGGTTTTGCGGCAGATTAACTTTTCGCCGAGAGTACTTGCAAAAATAAATTTTTTGTGCAAACAGCTTTAAAATGCAAGATCTCTTGAGTTTGCACAATATGTATAAATTTACGGATATAATTATTAGTGCTACAAACTCGGTTTACCTGACTTTATTTAAAACAGGGATATGAGAGAACTGCATAAAGATGAGCATAATTACAATTTCAGGTTAAAATAATAGAATACTCAAATCAGTTAAGGATAAGTAAGGACACATTCAATCTGTTGAAATAGTTTATGACTTGGTCCTATTACATTTCTTTATTGAGTAATCCAAACAATAAATTTATGAATATATTTTGGTCAGAACAAGCCTCTTTTATTTCTTACTTCTTATTTCTTTTTAGTCTACAGCGTTCTCAAGTGGTTTGTGAATTCTATAAACTTTTTCGTTAATAACAAATTTGTCACAACTTGATGATGCACATTTTAGTATTTGTAAATTGGACTGGCTTAACCAGTAACTTAGGACAGAAATAAAACTTCGCTGATGATTATTGATTTGTTTTTGCTCAGTGTTTTCAAAAAACTTTTTTCTTAATTGCTCGAAACTATAAATTTAATTTTCTTTGCGAAAAAGAAAAAAATTGTGGCAGGTGGATTTATGTTTCTTTGTGAAATTTTTACTATAGTAATGAAGGCAGTTATTTATTATTATTATAGAGATCAAAGTAAATTTTGCAACATATTTGCTTCATTTTCATTGGCGGTTATGATGCTTGCACTATCAAATAAATTTTCTTTTTCAATCATGCCAGAAGCAATAATGTAACATTGTCTTTTCAACGAAGCTACATATTTTTCCTTTCCCAAAATGTAATTTCATTTTTTTCAAGGAAAATGAAAATGGTTAATAGCATTATTTCTTATTTGTTTTTGGAATTATAATTTTTGTTGGTTCCCATATAACCAGCATTTGGATAGCATCACATAACGAGAATTTTAAATAAGAAAATACTTTAAGCTTTGCAAAATACTAAGAAAAATATTTTCCATCTCTCTCAACATTTTGAAATTTTCACTCCAGGGAATTTTTTTTTTGTCCGAGATTTTTTATAATCTCGAGCGGCAATGATATCCACTTTTTGATGGATTAAATTCGTACTTTTCGATAAATTTAATTTTCAGTTAATCATCTTTCTCGGATAAGCTCGTTCCAAAAAATGGCAATAACAATAACGTCATTGGGGCGGTATTTCCAAAATCGCATAGCATAAATGTTGACGAGTCTCCGTTCTATTAAAAACATCAAACATTAGACTAAGCAGGCATTTGTAATAAATAATATCAACATTTTTATCTAAGTATTTTCAGTTTGACAATTATCTATCTACACTTGGATCTGTAGAGAAATGGAATAAAGTGAAATGCAAACAATATCTCACCTGAATAACTTTCCTTAAATCTTCACTTTCAACAAAATGGTTAATACTCTCAATTAAAATTTCTTTTTCTTTATCATCACTTTGTGTAAAATTCGTATAATTATACTTTCTTGATTTTTCATTTGATCATGTTGCAATGGTTTTATTACTTTACTGTTATATTATGTTATATTATGCTGTATTGCAGATTGATTAATGCATTTAATTGAATTTTTTTTTAACAAATTTTAAAATATCGAATTGTACGAAGTAAACAGTTAGCATAATGAAGTTGGTTACTCATTAAACTGTGTCCTGAAAATTATAAATTATTGAATTATCATCACTAACTTATTTCTAATTCATTTTTCAGGTGCGAACGGATTCCTGGATGGAGCAGCTACGGAATTTGTAGCATTACAAAGACTCTCCAAAGTGGGTCAGTAATTTGTTGCTTATGTTTCAAAAAATATTGCACTTAACTTTGTGTATCACTCATTTAAATTTGGATTTAACATAACTGCATCCCTCGATGTCCTTTTGTAATAGTCTGGAGAAGTGCAAAACTTCTCAGCTTCTTTATTCAAATATATTGCATTTCACAGCTCAAGTAACAAGTCAGGGCAACAAGAATCATAATTTTTTGTTTAATATATCTAAGGAAATGAGGAAAGATAAAAAGAGGACAAGGAAGAAAGTAATAATCATTGTCATCAAATACTTCGAAAATTTTTTAAATAAAAAATATGTTCCAATTTAATATCAAAAATGTTGCAAGCGCTAGTCATCATGAATGATTTTTTTAAAAAAATGTTGAATAATTTTTTTTCCCTTTTGCTACATATTAAAAGTAAAAGCAATATGTACTGTTTGCGAGAACCAAGTTTGTCGAGTTAAAAATCCCTTAAGACTTTATAAAAACTTTCATTTTATCCTACTTACAGCCTCCATCACCCTATTTTTTCCAACATTGGAAAATTTGGCTAACTGATGATTAGTGAGCGAATATCGTTAAAAAATTCTTTAAATGGGGATACTGGATTGTGGAATGCTAACGATATTAGTTCAATTATCATCTCTCCAGGTTTGTTTTGAGAGTGTTTCTCCCAAACACTAAGATGTCATGATATGATTTTGCATTTATCTATGGAAAATCGTTGTTATAGACTTGCTGCAAAAGTATCTAAACTTCTGCGACAAACGATGATCCAGAAAAAAATTCGATACTTGATTGATGTTTTTAAAGAAAATGGGTAAAAAGCTAAATTAAGGTACAGTGGGCAGCTTTTCATCACAATGTTCATTTTTAAACCAAAAATATTCGAATTTGTTGAGAAAATGTATTTTGTTTTTCCTGTTGCTGGCAGTTTTTATCTTCGGCGTGCTTTTGGCATTTTTGGTAGGGCATTGGATTGCCAAATCGGAGAACAGTCCAGATCAGTTGGTATGGTTTGTCACATTTATCAGTTCATATCTATTAAATTCAATTTGTTTGAAGTTGAAGATTAGCTTAAAGTTTTCGAAAATTATAAACAATATCAATATCATCGGTTTTTTTTCTTATAAGTTCATTAGAATCTGAGCTATTTTTCTCCGATTTCTACAATTCTAAATTTTTTGCTCCATTTCTGCAAAAGTTTTCAGATGCCTTAAGCTAATTTGCATTTAGTATAAAATATATTTCTTTTTGATTATATTCGGTATAGAATTCATTATGTTGATAATATTTAAGATAACAAGTTCATTGGCTAACACAATAACAACATCGATTTCAAATACTAACCTACCGATCAACACTTCTAAAGTTAATTTGGTATTATTGCTATTTTATTTAATCTATAATTATTCATTATTAGAAATAACATGGAATTACACAACAGACATAATCGAGCATCAGCCTTTCCAATAAGACTGAGAGTCCAAACAACTATTTACCCTAGTTTAGCTATTAATCATTTACCTTAGTTTAGCTACTAATTAAACTAAAGGTGGAACTATCATTCATTATAAACTTGAATCTGAAGCGTGAATATTTTACAGACATCAAATAAAATTCGGAAAAAGAATTTTCTACATTTGTATTATAGAATTTGAATTTTGGATAATAAATAAATGTTAGGAGAAGGAAGAAGCGGTGGTGAAGAATATTACGTTGTTGGGTATATATCCACCTATATCAAATTTCATTCCTTCAAGAACATTTCATTCTTCTGTGACTCCCACGACGAACCAGAAATATCGAAAAGTACCTTTGATACGATTACCCAGAACAGTTCGACCTAAACATTATGATCTACAGGCATGTAATTTTATTCCTTTGTTAAAGCTTTAACTGTTTCACATTACCGAGTACTATATAAGTTCCAAGCTTAAAAATTATGCATTGAAATGAATAAGAATGATAAGTATGAAGTGTTTTGAAAATAACTGTTTTGGATTAATAGACTTCTATAAAGTATTTTTTAAGAGAAGTATTACAATCTTTCAACCACTATATTCATATCTTCTGCTTAATAAAATGAAAATTTTAATTTTAAATAATCTTCCATAATGAATCGTATTTTGGGTTGATTCTTTCTAAGCAATTTCAGCAGATTGTGGTATAAAGATTAATATATTTCTGTTTAGTTAGATTTTACGAAGGTGATTTCAAAAGAACAAATTTTCGGTAATGTATCAATACTTCTTGAATCATATGGTAATTCTACAGCACCTCATGAAGTTGCCTTTCATGCAGCAGCAAATGTATATATTGACAGAGTACGCCTACATCATCGAGGTTTGCTTCTAATCTTGACGAAAGCCAGTTTATAAATTGTCATTTGTCTTCTCTTGCACGTTTTTGAGTACAAAATTCTCAGCTTCTTGCACCGATCCTTCCTGAATAAAAAGAAATCTGATCGTTTGTTTCAATCTTCCATTACATTTGCTTTAACTTACCACAATTTTTTAGGAAAGAATATTGGTATAGAAACATTCAAACGAGAGCAACGTGCCAGGATAATTCGACTTTTACTCGAACAACCTTTGGAACATGGATGGTTCGTTCTTTTTTAATGATGTTAACCTTCCTGTTAAAAGAATATGTGAGGATATAAGAAGAATTTCTGTGAAAAAGGGAATGAAATTACGACATTATTAAGTATTATAATACTGATTACACTGTCAAAACACTGCAGGTATTCACTCGAAATGCAATTTGTTACGAGAATTTGCGAGGACACCAATGGAGGAGTACAATGTTATCGCGGTATAGAAAATGTAAGAAGTATTTGCATAATGCTGATATTTATACAATAAAACTTATTTTTCTATCCTTTTTGGAATAATGTGACATCGTGGTATGCATATCTATCAAAATATAAAATAATTATTATTAATATATCCGTATTCTAAACACAAATTAAACTGTGTAAGTTTATAAGTGCATCACTGAATATTTCAGGATGACAATCCACCATCAAGAAATCAACGCTTACCGATAATTAGTTTTACCACAAAATTCCAGCCATCATTGGCGAGAACTTTTTTTCCATGTTGGGATGAACCGAATTGGAAGGTATCATGCTCATACAGTTAGAGTTAAACAGCAATAATTTTTGCATTGCATTCAAAATTGCTTACAATCAAAGTATTCTGGTAACGAAAAATACAATTTAGTGAACTTGGTAAAAACAATGATCGTGTTATGAATAGTAAAGTAGCATTTCACATACTATTATGAAATTCTAAAAGAAAGTAAAAGCTTCAGAAAGTACTCAAGATTACGTTATCTGGTTTCAAATATCCTGTGATCTCGCATTAAAAAAAACATTAGAAGTAAAAAGATCCATTATAAATAATAGATAACTTTTTTAAATAATATATCTTTTTAAGGCAACATACAACATTACCATATTGCACTCAAGTTCGATCACAGTTTTAACAAATGCAGCGCCAATCCATTTCACTCAGATGCAACGACTCTCCTTTGTTCGTACCAAGTTTCGAGGAACACCACCAATTCCGGCATTTTTACTCGCATTTGCTTTTGGTTCCTTTTGAATTTCATACTTCCAGATAGTTAGCTAGACAGTATCAACTCTCATCTTAAATTTCGATTTAAATATTTCAAAAAATTAAATGAATTTATATGCAAAAAGTCAAAATTGCATTAAATTGCTCAGTAAAAATAAATATTTAAGGCCCGTACAATAGTTTGGAGACGAGTACTGGGTATGATGTACGACTTACTATATGGACATTTCCAGAAGATCTCGTTTATGCCAGATTTGCTGCAAACTTTTCTCCCCATATGTTCGATCAACTTGTAAAAGAGTTTGTTGTAAGTTGCGGTAAAAATGTGGAAGATTTCATGTAAAGTTTAGTGCTGCATATATTAAATTGCAAAATTATCCGAGGTACAAAACTTCTCATGTTGTGAAGCTAATCAATTATTTGAATTTTAAGTAAAATAAAAGCAATGAATTTGGACCGGACTGAATTGAATTGAAATGAATTGAAATATTTGGTTGCTACGAAAGGTTTCTGATTTCAGTTCATTATTGCATTCCATTGCTGATTTAGATGTTTAGATTTATGCAAGATCTTTGCTGTGTTTACTTCCAGATACCGTATCCTCTCTCAAAAATCGACTTTGTAGCTGCTCATTCATTTCCAGTTAGCGGTATGGAAAATTGGGGATTAGTTGTATTCCAGAAGGAAATGTTCTTACTAGATTCACTGCTCGAAAGTAAATTTTCAAAAAATTCTATATATGACACAAGGATAGAAAGTTATTCTCAACATCGCACTCAAGCATATATTTCCTTCAAGATAAATTTCATTTTGTATGAGTGATATTTGATAATTACTGTTGAGGTCATGCAAATATGACGGTGGATTTATTGGCTGAACAATATGATATCGAAAAAGTCATTACTCATGAACTTGTTCATCAATGGTAAATGTTTGAAGTTCACACAGATGCATTTTTTTTTATGTTTTAAGAAATAAAAGAAGTAATTTTAATTTGTTAATATCATCAGGTTTGGAAATTTGGTTACAATAAATGATTGGTCTGAGTTGTGGTTAAGTGAAGGATTTGCAACGTATTACGTAAGTGATTTTCTGAAAAAACAACGTCCAATTCTGGCCACTAACGAATATTTTCTTCGTCTTTCTCAGCTACTTTCAAAACAGGTTATTAAAATTTTCATTTCCACCTTACTTTTTTTTCAAATTATTTTCAGTTTTCCTATGTTTCGCCGTTTTCACCGTTTAAATGAATTGTTTCAGACGTCAAATGAGAAGGTGCCACTAGTAAAACGTTTCAGAACGGAAGCGGAGGTAGAAAATGCTTTCAATCCATACCATCTATACACGAAAGGAGCTGTTATTGTTAAGATGATGCGCGATTTGGTCGGCGAGAATAATTTTCGTGAAGGTGTCAGGAGGTAAACGTGCATGTGTGTTTTAGAAAATTGCATGTGCTTTGGAAATGTATGTTTATGAAACTAGAGTACAATACTATTCATCGATTGGTAGACTTAGTAAAATTTTTCACTGTTATTTAGATTTTTGAAAACAAACGCCTATAAAAGCATTGGACGATCAGCACTATGGAAGGCAATGCCAGCTTACACTGATCATGGTTTGGAAAATAAGAAGCTTGCAAATGTTATTGAACCTTGGCTTCTTAATGATGGAATGCCGGAAGTGATGGTAAGGTGAGTAAATAGAACTCGGAGAAAATCATTTGTTAATTAGTCTTAAGATACGTGTAAAAATTTTAGAACCATCTTCCCTGTATTTTTAGGCTATTCGTCGTCTAGTTTCTTTAATTCTCTTCGTGAACTGTCCTTACTGCCTCTGTGAAATATAAGGAGGGCAGATAGTTGAGTAGCGCATACAGTGCAATTATTGAAATAATCAAATATTTTTCTTTTTCCAATTTAGAATGCTGCATATTTGCCAACTTCAAGCGCATTTTTGTGTGTGAAATCAAAATGGTTTTATTATTTTAAGCGTACTTCCACGACCATTACGGGCGCTGTTCAAATTTTCTCTTTTTTACCAATGGCTTAACTGTTTTTTTCTTGAAATATTTCGAAGAGATTATTTACAAATGTTTTTTGAAGTAAACATGATTTAAGTCGAAACTACGACTACGGTAGTATACGTCTTATTCCGCGACCATCTGATCAAAATCGTTATATCAGTTATTTACGAGATGGTAGTACAAGAGGTCATGATGCAAAGAATTCAAGAGCATCCATTAAAGAAGTGAAAGCAAAGAAATGGACGGATAAACTTTCCATTGGGTCAAGAATGAAACATCGCAGGATAGGTGACTTTTAATCCATTTCACTAATTTTCGCAACTTTACATAATAAAGTAGCACATTTCCGATAAGCAGAAAGACTTATTTTGAGTCAGTTGTAGTTGCAAAATTCTTATAGATAGGTCGGAAGAAGCTGAAATTAGCAAAGAAACCTCATCATCATCTTTTTACGTTGAATTTATAAGCAAACAACAAAGTATTAAAAATGTGCGGATCAATTCGAAGAAGCAGGAAGCTAAACACAAGCAAATAGTTAGTCTCTTTCGCAGATTTATAGTTTTCGTGAAGTCGGATGGTTTTTGTAACTACTGTAAGCAAGAGTTTTTTGGGCAGCAAAATTATTAAAAAGTCAGATCGACGATGGTCGTCCTACTGGTAGAAGGAAAAAGGAACGCCATCACCGGAAAATAAACGGAAAGCGACGGTCAGCTCAAGAAAAACAATTCTGGTCAATACCATTCACTTATCAGCTAAGCTCCAAAACGAATATTTTTGGTAAGAAAAATGTATACAAATATTTAAGCACATTTCAAGCTTACCTTCTAAATACAACAGTAAAATTTTTGATCAAATTTTTAGGTGATCCAATAAGAGAATTGTGGTTGCATAACAAAACTGTAGTGTTCATAGACAATAAAGAACAAACCTCGGCTACGCTTCTAGCAAATGTTAACTGGAAATATCCATATCGTGTCAACTATGATACTGAAAATTGGAAAATGTTAGCAAGACTGGTAAGAATAATTGCCCAAAATAATATTAAAATCGAAAAAAGAAGTTTCTCAAAGCAATAAAACGAAAGAGGAATGTTTTAGCTGCATGAGAACCATTTGTCCATACCGTTATATTCCCGAATACAATTGATACTCGATTCCGAATTCTATCTTAAACAATCGACTGTTCCCGAACTTTATCTGTACATTTTAAGGTAAGCGCTACGTCACATATTCGTATCAGTTATCGCTTTCGATGTTCGGAAAAATTATTGCAGGAAATATTTCAGCTATTTAACTAAAGAAAATGACGTTGGTATTTTATTATTTGGTTTGGATGCATTATACCGCTTTTTCGATATGTTTCGCGGAAGTTCAATCAACAGCTTGCTTTTATTATTCCTAAGAGAGGTTTAGCAGGACCGTTATTATGATAATATTTTAGCTTCTGATATATTTTAATCCCATGAAAATTAATAAAACTTAAAACCAGTACATCAGATGACAATGCTGATGTCATTTATGACCAAATGTAATTGGCTAATAGGTTCCAAAGATCATATCAATTCCTTGACTCGTCAATGAGAAGAAACAATTTAGGTGGCTGAATGGCTTGATAAAGTAATGGATGGTACGAAGACAAAACCTGAGTTAGCCGCACTATGGTTGCTTGATGCTAATCGACTCATTCAATTTTATAAACTTCGATGTGCGGTGAATTTGTCAACTTGCGATGCAGAAAATAAGGTTCATTTTCTGTGGTAACAAATATTTTAATTTCGAATTCCTTCTTCTGAGATTGGATTTCAGGGAAGTTGATTGTGTTTCACCAATTCGATAATTTTATATATTAGCATAATTCCAAAGTTCATCTAGCAGAGATTAATTTTTTTTACTCAGATAGAGCAGTGGTTAAAATCAGGTGGTTTGACAGAAGGTGATCACTACTCGCAAATGACTGCTATTTGTCATCATTTGTTCACAAGAGGTACAAAAGAGGGATATCATTTGATTGAAAATGGTTTGAAGCAGTTTAGCGGTAAATGGACAACTGCAATACAGCTGGCGACATGTGTGCGCAGTGAACACATTCTCAAGAAAATTGCAAGTGAGATCGTTGCAACACGAAATGCAGCTGTATATACAGCCATGTTGCAGGTAACTAAATGAAATTACACTTTTTGAGATGAAATGAAGTTTCATGAACGAACGAATTACACAAGTTGTAATTTGGAATGAGAATATCTCAAGACTTCCAGTAGTATGCGTGGCCAATTATGACATTACTGTCATGAGTGCCCTTCTAACATCTTTCCACTAATCTTTGGATATATAATTTACATGAGCTTTTTTCTGGCGTCTTTAAGAGAAAGGAATATTTTAGAGATTGATTTACAGTATTGATGAATCTAACTTATAAGTATTTTAGAAATATTGATGAAAGATTCAAAGAGAAAAATTGGGAAAGTAATAGCAATACATTGGATTTTAAACATGGTAGGCTTCTAGCTAATCTCTTAATACATAACCTTAAGAAAAAAAACACGATTCTCTCTCTCCGCTTTAAATTTATTTCTCTTTCTGATGATTGGAAAAGATTACTTTTATTGCAGATGATATATAACCAAGCATCTCAGTTAAGACGACAGTAATCAGAGTTTCAAAAATTTCATTTTCTATCTAAGGCTATAAAATGTGAGGAGACGAAGATCTCTGATGTGCATTGTAAGAATGATTTTAACAGCGAGCAAGGGACCCACTTAAACGTTTTTCAAGAATGACGAATAAATAATGAGTTATGAAAAAAATCTGTGATCTGCAGACTATATAGATTGTGGCGCAAATTTTAGTCTTTCTTATCGATCATTACAAAGAAAAAAATCTAGAATGCAAACTATAGCTTGAATGGACCATAATTTAACAAAATGACTTCTTCTCACTCTGTTTTGAATTTCTAGTGTAGAATAAATCCAACTCTTGCTTTGTACATAAAATATAGAAATACCCATATAGTAACTATAATTATGATTGCTTTGTATTAATTTGATGTTATGTTAGATGCTTGCAATTTTCTAATACAATGAAATATTCTATAAGATATATAGTTATCATCGTTACATATGTGTAAAAAAATTTTAATCGACATTCCAAAACAAATATTTCATTCAACAGTTTGTAGTTGTCTCAGCTTGCTTCGTCGATTTCATTTGTAAACTTGACTTCCGTTTTTTTTCCAAATTAGTGAAGAAAATTATTGCAGAATGAATTCACACTACTTTACAACAAGAAATTCCGAGCATTGTTTTGGAGAGAAATTGCTGCCATGCCACTGACAGAGCGTAAACTGTTATTTTCCATCGAAACAGATCAAACAACTCGAGTAGCTCAAATACTTGTACATTCAGTACGTTCATCGGCCGAGTTGGAATGGCTGATTGATATTGTACCTGACTGGGGTCATTATATGAAGCCACATATCGATTACTTACGTCGCAAATTTCAATGGATCGATGAAGTTGCTACGCCAAAAATTGAACATTTTTTATTAAAAGTTATTAGACAGCCGTAACTAAATCAGTTATTAAACTATGGAAGGATTCTTAAAGGATTCTCTCCGCTAATAAATGTTACCTTTAATCTAGTAGTTGAACGATGTTTAGAAATAAATTCATAATAAAAAGTTGAAAAGAAGGACTGGAAATTTCTTTTTTGCTTCTTCACGTAAAAACATAGAATCCCTCTTCTCCAAAACTCATTCATCTAATTTATTTGGAAAATAATGCAACTCTGGAATTCTGAAATGTTAAATTTGGTTGTCACCAGTATTTCAATTTGATTCGATCATTTGCCAGCAAATTACTTCATCGTATTAATAGTGTGGAATTCATGTTTATCAAAGAAACACAAACAACATTCATTTAATTCATATTGAACTTTTAATCAGGTGACATATGACTGCTGTATCTTTCAAAAAAAATTTAATGTAACTAAGTTTTCCGAATGTAATATCCATGTTGTTGCGTCGTTAAAGTGTTTTGTTAAATACTACATGTTTTTTATAAATTCAAATTAAACTGCGGCATCCTTATACAACATAACCGTCGGCAACAACTATCTGAAGCAACGATAAACCCTAAATTTTACTATACTATCAAAACTCACTTCATGAAGTTCACCATACAGACTCACGTCCATCCTTCATCTTCCTAATATCTCGAGGTCGCTTGACACTTCCTGGCAACTTGCGTGCACTCTCACCAACCATCTCCCTATATCTCACTCAGTACATCTGTTTAAGAAGTGTAAACTGGTAGCACTGACAGCCTATCATGTCATGTATACTTTGCACATGGCGCAGGACACCTCCACCCTAATAGGCTCTCAAGAGCAAATTGGTCACCATCTAATGGCACATAACCCATTTATTACAAACACTCCTTGCTGTCCACAACGGACCACAAAAACACCGCTAATCAAGACCTGACCTGCTAAGAATAAATGAATGTAATTCCATACCTGAAACTTTCGTGTTTCGTTGTCTCTTCTATCCTCACATCTCCTCAGGTTCTTCTATCTCTATTTTCCGTGTAGCTTTACACACTCTCCACACGACACATTGTCTCTCTATTAAGTATATTACTCGAAAACTTTTTTAGAAGGGCTGCTTAAATTTGTGGCGCTTTTCAGGCGCAGTACCCGTGGGGTGAATATGTCATTACTGTTGGCGAGTACAACAGTTCGCCATAGACGTCCAACAGTTCAGGAAGTTGTCCGAGATTTCGATGCATTTAACAAAACTATGGATGAAGTTAGCGAGGAGAAACGAGCTACCGGTGGATTCCGTGAGTTACTTTCAAAATCTGTCTATCACTCTTGACTACCTTCTCATTTCCATTTCAAGTTTTCAAAGAATAATTTTGATTCATTTTTGGCTGTTTCGAGAAAGTAATATATTGATGTATGGGGACTATCAACGTAGCTTTTTAGATGCGATATTGCACGGTTAAAATCGAGCAACGAAATCTTAGCTTAGAAACTGATTTATCAGACGATAAGTTATCGAAATGCAAATACTGGAATGTTTTGCTAAGGTTATGAATGATACCATACGCAACCTTTTTTTTATTGGAAGCATTTTAATATTGAGTGTCAATCACAAACTTTAATAATTAACAGAAATTTAAGTAAGGACTCATCGTTTGTTTGGTAATGACGCTTTTATTTTGTTACTAGCAAATAACACTAATTTTGCAGTTGCAAGTTTATCATTTCTCATCATCACAGTGTTGGTCTTTGGCGAGTTGAGGAATTATTTTTACGGTGATGAAGGACATTATTATAGATTCTCAGTAGATACCGCTTTCAATGAGTAAGTGAAAAAAATTTATTCCAGCAGTAAGGTTTACTCTCCATTCAAAATTATTCGCTTTTTAGATGAAATTTAGAAAATTCAGGCATCCTGAATTGGAATTGGATATGATAATTGCAACTCCTTGTGCGAATTTGATGGCATATCTTACTGGTACCGCTTCACATGAATTCAATCCTATGAATGAATTCAAACATGATCCAACGCGTTTCGAATTTACGGAAAAAGAAGCGATCTATTGGAATGAACTGAAAAAAGTACAGCGTCGTACCAAAGAAGGAACCACCTTGTTTAAGAGTCTTGACGAAGTAATTCTATTCGTTTTCAACACGTCAAGTGATTAAACTGTGAGGCAAAAGGCGCTCATCTCATTTTTTCTAATTACTGAAATATCAGCTGTACTGCTGTCATCTTTCTTAACGATGCAGAAATTTCCGTTGATAATTTGCCTCGTAAATCACTTTTCATGTTATCATTTTTAAAATATTTGTTTAATGAACACTGTCGAGGTTCTGTAGATGACTTTTGTCAGCGAACGAGTGGAAGAAGGTTTGAAAACTGAAGCAGAAACAAAACAACGTGAAGAAGCGCATGCAATACAGTTGGAAAGGAAGAAGAACCCAAAACAGTCTTTGGATAGTGGAACACTGATATTAATTGGAAATGGATTTAACGTATTTCATGTTGTTGCAAGTAAGTTTTATTGGATCAAACTTTAAAAGGCAAAAAGCAGTGGTAAAGGATTATAAAGCGTTTTATTTTTGGTCGATGGAATAATTGACTTTTTTCTAATATTGATTGGAGTTAAAATAGGAATAAAATCTCTCGTAGTGTTCGGTAGTAACTAAGGCATAAAGCCTGATATAGAAATTACGTCATTATAGTTAAACAATGAAAAGATTACATTACAGCTTTTTTGAATCTTTTTCCTTTGTTTTTTGCAAAAGGATATTTTAAAGTCATAATTTGAATACCGATTATCCGGTTTCAGGTAACTCAGAGAAAAGTGAAGGCACTGCTTGCCGTATACATGGTCGCATGCGTGTCAACAAAGTTAAAGGTGATAGTTTTGTTGTTAGCACTGGCAAAGGCCTGGGCAGCGATGGTATTTTTGCTCATTTTGGTGGAATTTCTAGACGTAAGTTTTTTTATTTATGTGTACTTTCAGAAGAAGGTTACTGAATTTTTCTACATCTTTTAATTTGTTATAATTTATTTTGCTGATGCAGCAAATACTATCCGTTAGTATCCTTCATCCTCATCATTAAAAAACTCATCAGTAGTCATCATCTATTTATTTGACCAAATTCTCGAAAATATAGTGTGATAATGCTCATTAAGCGAATATTTTATATTACAAATCATTTTGAATGAAGTTTTCACTCTAAAATAACTAAAATAGCTGCGAACAAATGCAGTTATTTCTTTCTAGCTGGTAATGTTTCTCACCGAATTGAACGGTTCAATTTCGGTCCCAGAATATACGGTCTTGTGACTCCCCTGGCAGGAATAGAACAAATTTCTGAAACAGGTTAGATTTTTTAACTCTTCACTTACATATCACTATTCTGATGTAAGTTTTATTTGTGTTTTATAAATGATTTATTTTTTAATTTTTTTTCCGAAGAAATACATATCACATAAAGTAAATTTTAATGCCTCTCAGTGTAATTAATTACGGCGTGATATTTTGTCTTTCTAGATAGAATCTTTCAATCTTGTATTGGTGTGCTTCTTTCAGGTGTAGACGAATTTCGTTATTTTTTAAAGATTGTACCTACGAGAATATATCACAGTGGCCTTTTTGGTGGCTCGACACTTACATATCAATATTCTGTGACATTCATGGTTTGCCTTTATAAGAATAAATTCAAATTCCTTCAAATACTTTTTATAAAAAAAATTTCATTTAAATCATTTCTAAAACTGAAATTCAAATTCAATAATATCTTATTGATTGCATTTATGATAGTCCTTTTAATGACTTTTGAGCCATGACTCTCTTCTAAAAGCTTTTAGATTTTTTTTATAACTGAGTTTTTATATAGAAGCGCGAAATAGTACATCGGATTGTGTCTTAGATTGTTATACTGAACGGAGATAATCATTTTACATCGCTTATTTTACACTATTTCACGGCGAAATAGTAAATTATGTTGTGGTTTTTATAGGATGTTTGTGATGTTAGATGACATTACTATTAAGTATAATTTTGCAGAAAAAAACACCCAAAAAAGATGTGCATAAACATGCGGCTATCATTATCCATTATGAATTTGCTGCAACAGTCATTGAAGTTAGACGCATTCAATCGTAAGTCTTTCATCTCATCTGGAATGGTAATGAATTCATTTTTCTATTTCCATTATTATTTTTGCTAAGGTTTTATGGCAAGATCTTTATGAGTTCATAGAGTTCACTAACTTTAAAATAAGTGTTAAATAAAAGGTTTCCAGCACTAGTAAAGTAATCACAATCAGGTCAACAGACGTAATATGATGTGATGCATTTTTTCTTTGCAGTTCTCTGCTGCAGATGCTCATACGTTTATGTTCTGCAGTCGGTGGAGTTTTTGCGACAAGTGTCGTACTGAATAGCATATTTGTACGTATGTCAAGTGTTTGGATAAGTACTTCAAAAAGAGTAAAGAAAATACGGTCGGTCGATTCGCAGTTAGAGATTATACAGCCCGGGATTGTTGTTGATACTTAATTATCAACAAAAGTGTGATTGTTTATGTTTGAAATATTACGAATATATGATTGATGAAAATACTGTTTTGTAAATGAATAGCCAGTCATTAGTATTAAAATCAGTTTAATTTTCATTAACATTATCGATAGTTCTTGCAGTTTGAATCTTGGTGTAAGATTGCAAAAACAAGTTCGTATCATTATTTTCAAGTAGAGGTTATTCAAACATTGCTATAGATGAAACAAACGTTACTCACAAAAGCTTCTACGGGAATTAGGTAGTGTAGTTTTTGATTGTTGAGGTTTCATAAAGTTATTCTTACGAATTGTAAAAGTACATCTGTTTTGATTTAATACCTTCAACTTCAGACCAATTTCAACATAATTCATATTTTGTCAGTTTTTTTTGCAGTTTTTTGGACCTTGCCTTTATTATTAATTTTTGAGAGATGTATTTGACCAAGAACATATATTCCACTCAAATTTTTGGTCGGTTACTACAATTTTTTTCAGAAATTAGTTGTTGGAAATAAACTTCTTTACTTTTGGCCTCTTTTATTTACAATACTGGCATGTAGAATAAGATAGGTAAATGCATTTCCACTTTTTTATGATTGCTGTTTGCTTAATAATATGCTTGCCAGCCTATGAACTTTAGATTTTCTTACTGATATAAAGTTCCAAAGAGAGGATACGTGACTTTGCATTAGCGCACTGAATTTCTGCATTCATCATACTGGGATTAAACAGGAGGCGAGAGAAAGCATACTGGTGTGCTCCAAAAATTTTCATTTCACTTAAAAAATTTATTTGTGAAGTTTTGCTGCACAAGTCAAGTTGAGTAGAGGCATTTGAGATAAAATCTGAAGCAAAATATATGATTTCCATTGTATCAAATCGTGTTATCATCTTTATTCTGTTGCTCTATGTGTGATGTTATTTCATTGCGGGTTTTCTTTATCTCACCAAGATACTACTTTTTTGATGCTTCATAATCAGTAAAAAATATCTCGAAAATTGTCAGTTGGAACATGGCCGTTATGCGGGAAATTTACTACATAACTTTTACTTTACTGGTGTTGCTCCTGTAATCGAGGGAGTGGTTTAAGAACAATGGTAATGCTGTGGTGTCGTGAACTCATTTGAAGGGGGCAGTTCGTCTCTGACAGGATTTGCTGGCAAGGTTGTTTAACTATTTAAGCTGTTCCATGAAAATATTATTTGACACTTTGGTATGTTAGGGTAAAATAGTTCATGTCATTTACTTACCAAAGGTGATATGTTGTATGAAAAAGAGTATCTGATTTTGTTTTTTTCTTGATAAAGGTAACGATTTTTGTTTAGAAATACGGACTGATGACTGGTTCTAATTCGAACAAAGATTTTTCTTTTGACATGGAGTTTGACTACTGAAACAGAGGAAGGTTTTTGCGGGATGCGTACGTAAGTCGAGAGTAAGGGTTTACTAGCCAACCACCTAGCATACTGATCGTAATAGACAACAAACAGAAAAGTGATATTAGACCAATTAAGGATGATATTTGATGTCAGAAATTTTCGTAGCAGTCAGATCTCAACGGAGTGAGGAGCTATTGAATTGAGATAGGTTTGCTGCATTTAAAGATGGTGGTAAGTGCTATAATTTAGACTTCTAGACATAACAGCATGAAGCAAGAAATTAGTGGAAGTCGTGTTGTCATGCTGGAGGTGTTTATTAAGACAGCATGTTGTTTTTCAATATTCATATAATAAAATTTTTTGCAATAGAAAAATTGTAAGCGCTTTTCCACCGTTATTTTGCTTTGGTTTGTTATATCTATTTTTCAAGTATATCCAACTGTTTCAAATGTACTGAATTGGTTGAAGCGACTGAAAGGTGATATCGTCACGTTTAACTGCTGTGAAATTTACAAAATCTCAACATTCATATGGCGGAAAACCATGTATGCATTTTGCATTTCTTTCAATTTGCAGGTCTCCTAAGTTTTGCATGTCAAAACCACATTGTTCTATTTAGACCTCCATTATCGTCCCTTTGTCCACTTTCTTTTGTCAAAAATTGCATAGACCCAAAAACATTAGGCATCAGTTGGAGCTGGATCACAAAAGGTATTGTGCCAACATTTGATTGTTAGTAAAAGTTTCACTCAATGATTTTGCCAACTGTATCCATCCATATTAAATTTTGCATGGAACATGGTTAAAGTAGTTGGATAGACTGATCATGCAAAATTCATTTTCCAATTCCAGTACAGTTCATTATAAAATCAGTTCACTGATATTAGTTTTATTAAATATATGGAGAATCAACTTTGAAAGCTTATTTTAAAAACCATTTAGAAGAATGAAGGCAGTTTTATTCGTAAATGAAGGTTAGGATGAAATAAATAGGCAAAAAGTGATCTTTAGCGACGTTTCTTGGAGAAGGCGTTTTATGTATTGTAAACATGTTTTTATCATTTCAGTTACAGCATTTTTCTTCTTATCTTAGAATATGGATAAAACAAAAACATCAAACCCCTCGCAAAATTTTGCGTAGGTTTTCTTATCGTTCTTCTGTAATTAGTTTGGATTAATCAAGGATTTATATGTGGTGTCCGGGAAATGAATTTGTTATTCATTTTAATCTTCACTGCTCTGCAAACTCCCCAATTAATTTCATTTAAAAGAAATAATGTAGTTAATTCCTTAGGTATCTACCGAAAATCATAAATGGCGGAATCGCTGGTATAATAGGCGTAACATGCGTTTTTCCAGTTGATCTAGTAAAAACTCGTTTGCAAAATCAAAGAGTTACTAGTGATGGGAAAATTCAATATAAAGGAATGTGAGTTAATTTTCCCTCCCTTGCCACTCTTTATCTTTTCATTATTGAGAAACAATATTGTAGGGCATGTTTCGGTGATAATTAAATTAACAGTTAGCTGCAAGTAATTCCACTTGCTGCTTATGAGTTTGAAATTCAATAACTTTTGTTAATCTCGTATTGAAGTAGAATTTTTTCAAGAGTCGACTGTGCAAAACAAACGTGGCATCATGGAGGACGAACTATTTTTGCAAAAATTCGAGGAATTTATTCTGGAGTTGGAGTGAATATGTTACTTATAACCCCTGAAAAGGCTATAAAGCTAGTAGCAAATGATTTTTTTCGGTTCCACCTTGCTGTACCACATCAAGAACATTTGCCTATAATAAGAGGGATGATAGCTGGTGGTGGAGCAGGATTTTGCCAGATCATCATTACAACACCAATGGAACTTCTTAAAATTCAAATGCAAGATGCAGGAAGAACGACAGGTGTATTTTGTTTGGTTATTTAAAGGTTCTTATTTTCCTCTTTAAAAAAACAGCCATATACTTAAAAACCAAAAAGAATTTGGTTTTTAAGTATATGGCTGTTTTTTTAATATATATGGCTGTTGTAGCTTTTTCAGAGTAGATGAAAAAAAGATTGTTTAAGGTCAAATGGAATCAAAAAAATTGTCTGCGGTTGGCTTGACGATGGATCTGTTGAGGGAACGAGGTATTTTTGGTCTTTATAAGGGTATTGCTCCAACAATGGCTCGCGATGTTTCATTCTCCGTCTTATATTTTCCGTTATTTGCATATCTAAATAGTTTGGTTAGCATGATCTTCCATTCTTAACAGTTTTTATTGATTTTGTTCGCCATTTTTATTTTAGCAATTTTACTTTATTTTATGTTGTAATTTGTAATTTTTTTATTTATTTGAATATTAGTTATTTCTAGGGCCCTCGTTCTAGTGATGGAAGTGGAGACAGTGTTTTTTACGCTTCATTTTCTGCTGGTTTGACAGCAGGTGCTTTCAGTTCGTTCGCCGTAACGCCGTTAGATGGTGAGTTTGATAAATCCTGTGTAAAATTATCACAGTTTTTTTGGAGAGTTGTAAATTCTGAATGCTAATTGAGCTGTTCTTCAACATATTTAAGGTATTATAGAATTTACCGCTGATTGCAACATATCTCTCTGCTGCTCTCCTCATTTATTAACAGTGTTCCTTTTACACTTTCATACAACCTATGTAATTATGCTGTTAGAGATTTCAGTAATCAAAACTCGCATGCAATTGATCAATCATGCTGAGGGCGAGACGGAATATCGGAACATCTATGATGCTTTCATGTATGTTTCTGCTCCAAATAATGTGTTCAAATTTATTGAATATTCTGTTGCATTTTGATCTTTTTTTTTTCGAACAAAACGATTTTCTAGGAAAATATTACGACATGAAGGTCCACAAGCATTATTTAAAGGTGCGGTATGTCGGATGTTAGTAATGGCTCCTCTTTTCGGTATTGCACAAATGGTATATTATACAGGAATTGCAGAATTTTTCCTTGGTATTCCAAAGACTTATCATTAATTTATTTATGTAGAATGCATCTCACTTCATTTACTCATGTCTTTTGTTCTTTCTTGTACCTCCATATGTTATAGTCAATGCTCTTCAAAAAAATTGAGTAGAAATCGTTGAATTTGTTGTGTACAATAACTGCTCGCAAATGATATTGTTTGGTAGGTCTTGCTAATGCCATTGTTAAGGACAAGAAAAGTTAAATATATCAAGAGATTTTTTTTTAGATATATTAAGCAAATATCTTTTGAAATTTCACACTGATAAAATTAAGGAAGAAGAAGGAGAACTGAAATTTTGCAGTTGAAATTGCTAAATTGAATGACACTTTTTTCATTTTCAACAATGATCGATAAGGTAAATGGAATAGTTGTAATAGCAGCTGTAGTAATATCAGCCAACGATCCATTTCATAAATCAGTTGATCCTTGTAATTGCTGTATATACATTCATCGACTAATTTTACAATTCTTCATTTCACCTTGCGGTGGTGGCTTTTCTATCGAGATACCTCGCAATTCTGTGAAGCAACATAAGAGACTGTGAAGGAGTCCTAAAACTTTCAAATATGTTAAATCCAAACTGGTGGGTCTACATTATTGCTTACCCACGTATCCTTTACTTTTTAATTTTTCTTTAATTACATTCTTATTGCTTTATTCATAGCTGATAATTTTGAATGAGTGTGTTGGTGCCATCTTTTTACTATGTGGACAGTTCTCCGGTTTCCATATTTTTGATGATAATTAAGCTTATTTAAGATGATCGAGAGATATCAGTTCAACATCATGCTGAAATTTAATTCTAGATTAAAATCTTGTTTCTATTAAGAGTAACTTTTCAATCAATAAATTCATATCCAAGAAAATGTGCAGTGTTTCTTGAAAAATCTATACGTTTTATGATACGATAAATATTTGCATATAATGCAAAAAGATTAGCTGGTAATTGGGACATGGCATACCTATTTGTTTTTCTTGTCTGCAAACGTTTTAAGAGAATTTCGGTAGTAGAGCTGGGTAAATAGTGATATTTTCCGTGAGATAATCTTCAATAGAAATTTTGGATGCATAGAAATGCATAGAAATCACAGATAAGGAATTTACTCACATTGTACTACAATTGGTTCAAGTTCTACTTAAAGTTGAGGTAGAACTAATTACATCGCACACACAATTCTCGCAAGAAATATGAGATTCGATTCTTTCGAAGTCCCGAATTTTGAACTCAGTCCTTGAATAATACAATCCGTTCTTAAAATAATGCGGACTCAGACTAGATTCTAGGCATCACCTCCTGTTTTTAGTTGCAGATGACTTTTTGATAATTAAAACATTTTAGAACTGAACTATTTCTTTTTTCCTAATGGAGCAGCTGCAGATAGCTGTGAAACTGTGGAGATTTTTTTTTTGTTCCTTGCTTGTATTGCATTTTTTTCTAGCATACTAGCAGTGAATTATCCCAAATATATAAGATAATGTCTTTTGCGACTACTTTTGCTAAAGCTAATGAAACAGCTGAATCGGTTTAAAAGGTATCTGAAAGATTGAATATATGAATTTTGTGCGTTTTCAGAAGACTGATAAATAGCTTCTGAAATGATATTGAGTGGACGTAATTAACTAATTTCATTATATAAAAATTTCTGAAAGAGCATGTGTTATGGAACAAATTTGTGTAATGAAAAAACCAGCGGTGCAATGAACGGGAATAAAAATTGGAAAACTGTTGTTAATTGTGCAATTTCAGATGATAACTGTAAATAAATGTTACTGATCTTTGCTATTTTAAGTAATGATGGTTGCAAAAGATTCAAATTAAGTCAACATTGTGAAAACATAGTTGTTCTTAGTTTTTCCAAATAATTTCTGGGGGTTTATTATACTTGTAACTAACATCATGGAGTTGATAAACTCTTCTAGAAATCGGTCTTAGGTCTGGTTTCAATCCATTCCTTGATTTTTGGTAATCCCATCATTCGATCCTTGAAATAATTCAACTGTGTTAGCTGAGCAGTTGAATTTGGAAACAGCGAACTAAAGAATCCAACCATGCATAACATGTTCAAATCTGCAGCTGTCAACTGTAAAAATTGAGCTGGTAGCCTTTTGCTAGTGTTAAAAAGTAATAATTGCTCACGCCACAATTTTTGAATTTTTTAAGGTCCGACCTATTTTTTGTGGAATTCTGTTCAATTCCGTTAATTCATACTTCGGCAGTAACCATTTAGAAATCCAGTAAATGTAAAGCTCTTTTATGAGCTAAAAAAAAGCCAAACAGTTCTTCCACTTGGGCAAATTCCCATTCGTTTTCTCCAACGAGATCTTCAAGTTTTCTGTTTTAACTTATAAAAATAAATCCAAGATTTCCAAAATTTTCGATGATAATTTTTATTTCACCTCTATAATCTTTGGAAAGGAATTTGAAGAAGAATGAATCTTCGTAATTTTCAATTCAATATAATGTGATTAATTTAATTTACATCAAAATGAAAATACTGAACATTTCAAACAACAAACATAAGTTTGTTTCCGTAAGCAGTGCAAGGCTAACCAAACTTTTTAGCAAGATACAGAGCGATTGCAGTAGATTGAGATAACATTTTATCATCTACTTCCAGAACTGGTACTTGTTCAAGTGGCATGTCTGAATTAAATCAATATCTTTTCAATAAATGTGTACTAAAGAGGATAACCAATTTCCTAGAACCATGAATTGTTTTTAAAACTCACTTGGTTTGTATTTGGTGCGCCAATCTTCTTTTCGGATCCGAACGTCTTCATAAGGAACTCCAGCTTGTGCAAAGATCAACCGGATTGTCTCTACTCGTCCCATCATATCAAAATAATACAACTTTTAGGATGGCATTTCCTTTCCAGTCAGTAAAAATTCTAAGGTACTGGAAGCAGTGGAAGTTTATTTAAAAGAATGTATAGAAACAGTAAACAAATTGCACTATTCAATTTCCAATTTGTATTTGCGCTAGACATGGATGGCGTATCAATCATTCAAATATGTCCAATCCTGAACAATCCTGTTTTTTCGTAATCCTGTTTAAAATTATTTTGAAGTATACGATTTACATATCATTCAAACTGTATTTTTCTGTCGTATTGAAGCACTAATTTCTTACGAATTCAAACAGCAGCTAATGTTTATGGTTAGCATCATCAATTTAAGAAATCATCAAGAAATAAATTCTCAGAAAATGATTTGGAGAAGAAAAGATAATATTGATATGATAAATCAAAACGTTTTTAAATACTCCAACCCAATTATGATCTTCTAACTCCGCCAAGATCCAAGTTGCAAAGCCTAAGCCTTTCATTCATCCCAAAGTCTATGGATTAAAGTACACGAGTTAAGATGAAAAATGACAGAGCAGTCTACCACTTATGTAAGCAAAAAAATAGATAAAATGGGAAAGGTGATGAATTGCACCGATTAGAAAGTGTGCAGCAGACATACAAAAATTAGACCGTGGTAAACCGGCTGGAAGGAAATGAATTATGATTTGTCACGATGACTGTTGGTATTTCCATAGCATTACGAAACGACGTTGTTTATATAACGTTATAACATTGTTTTAATTAAAAAATACCAATTTTTAATTTCATTCAACGCTATGGCTAACGAACGGCACCCCAAACCGACCTGTTGTTGACAAAATTTCTCATACCTCTATTTTCGGTTTCTTAAAACTCCTTGCCGCCAAAAACTTAAAGTTAAAGTCATCCATAACCTGCCGAAACTTTTGTTATTGTCATGTGACACAAAGGCCCTGAAGTAGCTGTATATGGGAAGTAAGTCTATTCTCCATCAGTATACCAAATTTTGTAAAATCATGCTTGCTTTATAAATGGGAAACCCAGAAACTTTAAATATAAAAGTTAAGATCGTGAATAAAATGTTTATGTAGTCGATTCTACTGCAAAACATTTTGAATCATTCAACAGCTTTGATCCCTGAAATTTAGCAGTTAGATACCAATCAACCACAAACCTCGTGTTTGTCAAAAGTGAAATAATCCTTTACGACGGAAAAGGAACAGCATCAGACTCTCATAATGCTATTACAATACCGCAAAGCGGAAATGTGTAACAATAGTATTGTTCTACGGAACGAAAAGGAAGCAAGCAAAAATTGCTTTCAAAAGTAATTGGGCATTTTGACGCTCAAATACCATATTAACCGTATTATAAATGCATTTTGACGCTCAAATATTGTATTAACCGTATTATAAATGCATTTTGACATAAAGAAACCATATTATAAATAATAAATGAAACCATATTATAAACTCCAAATCCCACTAGTTTTTAACGAAGAAAATGAAACAAATTGAAATAAAAGTGTTTTTGCATTAAAGAAATTTGTGCGTAAAGATTATTTTATTTAGAATATTTCTTAGTTCTTCATACAAAATAAACGCATGTTTCGACACCCAAAATAACGAACTGTTTATCCATTTAATATGTAAATTATATTTTATATTGGTATCAAGTGTGTCATAAAATGTTAAACTGACTCTTTGTTATTCATTTATTTTTCTTCATTTCCAAAAGGACCACAAATAATGCACTTTGATTCGTTCCAGAAGTACTATCATCCTCATCCCATCAAATCTCTACTGAACTACAACCTCAATCAAATTTCAAAACCCCACCAAAATTTCTTACGATCAATAAAAAAATCAACTTATTAATCTACTCTACCCATGATATTTTCTAACTGTCTAAACAGACAAATACGTTACAATGTACAAGAAAAAATTCTCCACTATGAACAAAACTTTTATCACAACTTTTGTCTCCGCCAATCACCAAAAAATTTCCACAACGTAGCCTACTGCTACACTAACTTGATAAGAATTATTTCACTCCCGTCAAAAATTTTAACTGGCGGGCCAAAATAATTGATACCTGCTGAAACATAAATATATGTTCGTGTAACCTTATTATAATAAAGTCCACGGAAATAGGCGTTCCAAAAATACACCAGCGGTACGAATACATACATTTGTCCGGCATGTGTGTGACCTAAAAAGCGTAATAAAACACAAGAATATTTCAAAACTGGTCTGCACAATCATCGTTTTCATTTTTTAAAAATTGACGCCATTTATTACTAACCTGACAGAATAAGATCAATGTTTTTGGCGACTTCAATGTCATTCAGTATTATGCGAACAGCATTAGGTTGGTGAATAAGCATAATTGTTGTGTCATTTTTACTGCATCCTCGTAACGCTTTTTTGTAATCCATTACATGCCCAGCAAGTCTATAAAATTTGAGCATATAATCTTTAAATACATCTCCGGTAATATTAAAGGTGGCAAAAAAATATACTTGATAATCTCTTAAATGTTTCTCTCTCGTCACTCGTTTTTCAGACAGACTACACATTATACACACAAAAGCTATCAGTGGTTATAAATTATAATTAAATTACTGGGTGTAAATCGTAGTAAAAATAACGTTGAATATAACAGCAAAGTAACATAACAATGGAAAATAAGCGATTAATTCAAAACTCTAAAAAATAAGAACTGCAGTCACCTCGAATGTTCCGCAAACAAATCATCGGCTCCAGCAATGCAAATTCTGGAATTTCCAATCAAAATCTTCTCATTTTTGTTATGAAGAGGTACGATTTCGATTTTCTTTAAAAACACAAACCATTCGTCAACATTTCCATGAAGATATTCATGGTTGCCTATAACTGTCACTCACTCCTCTGCCTTCAATTAACGGTACAACAACATCATAAAAAAGTCCTTCCTTATATACCGTTGAAAAAAGAATATTTAAACACAAACAATAGAAAAGTTTTCTAGTTTTCTATCTTTCAAGCGTATATATCCCTACCTGTGGCAAAATATATGCCATATTTTGAAGTTAGATTCATTAAAGGATAAGCAGCTTTTTCTAGATTGCGCACAAGACCATCGGCAAGATCGCCAGATATAGCTATCATATCTAAAAAAGATATTAAGACAATACATTATGCGAATAATTTTGCCTGACAAGTGAGAAAAGATCAATATACCCGGTTTCAGGGGATTTATGGTATCTACCATTTTCTGGATTCTTGAGCACCCAACAGTTGGTCCAATATGGAGATCAGACAAAAGAGCTATTGTAAAGCCTTTTTGTGCCTTTGGCAAGTTTTCGATTTCGATTGTAACACGGCGTACAACGGGTGGTAATAAAGCAACCCAAAGCCCTGCTAAAACGAAAACAACTGCCAATACAACAGCGAAAAGGCGATTTAAAAGCTCATGTGCAACCAGCAATCTGAAATTTACGCAATCGTGATTTAATCACAGTAAAAGAATTTTATAAGACTCTATGTATGAAACTTGATTTCAAAAAAGTTTACAGCATAATTAATGTGTGATAAAGAGAATTCTACAAATTAATTTTAAAAAATATAAACAAACTAGGTTTGTTCTTAATAACCAGCTGATCATATTTAAAACCGGATTACGAATAAATATGAGTTTCACAGGGTAAGCAATTCAGGATAATTATTAATATAGGTTATCCAACACTCGGTGCGGAGATTACATCCAAAAGAATGAATGCTTTACTCGTTAAAATAATAGAGAGACAAATATAAAATGAAAACCTTAGGCATCTGAAGTGTTTTGAATCCATGCGGAGTATAAGGCGGAATACCAACTGCATTAATAAAAAAATGAGTAAGAAGGATATAAGATAAATATAGACTGCAACCGATGTTAGAGCAATCATTGCAAATATATTTGGTTCTTCACCAATCCAAAAATAGTAAAATATCGAACAGATATGTGCAAGAAATAACAGAAGAACTATAGGAACCTGAAGTTACCACTTACTGGAATTAATAATCATTCAAAATACAGCAAGTTTCGTGGACTGGAGGAATCACCAAAATCTGCTTTGCCATGTATTCCTGCAGGTTCTAATGAAGATGAGAATGGACGCAATCCATAGTCATATCTGGGCAACTTCTTTGTGCCAAACCACTCCAATTAATTTATCAGGACTATCTGCCCTTGAAACAAAGAACATTCTCGAATAACTTTCAATAGTCGTAAAATTTACCAGCATAGTGAAAGAACATATTCAAAAAATCTTACCTTTAAACCATTTTGAACACAGCTTGTTCGCCAATATTTACATGGAAGTTGCAAGGGCAAGTCACTCAAAACACTGCAAACTTTTTTCTTAAAAAAAGATTAAAACTGAAATATACGATTAGGAGCATTAAGTTTTTAAATCCCCGAACATATTAAAAAAAAAAGATATAAATGAACAAACCTATCAATAGCTGGAGATAAATTCCACCAAATAAAAACTGTTCCACAAATCATAATAAACTGTTGCAAAACAATGATATTTAGACGGGTCGCGATCATATAAGATACATCTGTTAGAAAATATTTCAGCACAAAAAAGATCACCTGCGACAACGAAAAAACAACAAGCAGTATCAACAATATCTTTCTCATCTTTATGATATTCTAATTCATCGCGCACATCTAAAAGCACAACGAAAATTGCTGAATAATGTAAAGTGATGTTATAAACAATTATAAACAAGTGCACACAATGACATTTCTTTAGTGTACGGTTCATTCCAGTCATAAGAACAATTCTTCTTAATTTTGAAAGAAAAATAAGCGCAAAAAAGACACCAATTTCACCAGAAACAGTTTACTACTACTCTCGGCAACTCCCAGTAGTCAAGTCTCAATAGCATAATACTTTACAGAGCGATGCAGAGGAATATATCGCATCTGGCCGATATGCTACAGGTTGTGCAATGGAAAGGACTGGTATGCGATGTTTGCTGATTTCAAGGCTTGGGAAAAGTGTTAAGGAGGGCCTGTGCAGTGACAAAGTTTGCATTGTCGAGCTTTGATGTAATTATTAAGAAATGAAACGAAGTATAGATGTGATATGTGATCCGAACCTTCGGATGCGAATTACTCTGAATATGGCAGCGACTCAGGAAGTCAGCCCAACAGTTCCTATTAATCGGTTTGGTTTTCGAATTCCGTCCTTTTCAGCAGTTATAAGCCTACAACTAGACACTGTGAAGTTTTTGTTCTTGAACTCGTAATGGTGGATAGGGTTTCTAGCAGATGTTATAATGCCAAGAATTATTACTATACATAAGTTTCGGTGTAGAGCTTGGAGTGAAGCTTTTCTCGTCGTTTCCCTATCTCCTCTCAATCAAGCCAAAGCATTAACGGAAATTTTCATTATTTTACTTTTTTCTTGAAATATTTTTTCTTTGTATTTCTTTATTGATATATTATAAAACATATAGGAGCATTTTAAATCTTAAAAACGAACAAATAAAAACGTGCTGCAGTTGCTTGTTTTTCTGTTTCCCACAAAATTCAGCATGTCATCATGAGTTTGCATGGTTTGTTTTTTTTTTTCAGTTATTACCGAAGTCTGAATGAAATGTATCGTGTTGCTGGCTTTTGTATAAAAGATAAGGATTATGAAAGAGCATTTATTTACTATATGCGATTCGTAAGGTTTGTTCTCAATATCTTTATCGCGAATTGCTTTTTTGGGCAGTCTGCATGACAAAAATGGTAAAGACCAGTCTTTTTTCGTTTTCTCTTATTTTCATTTCTTGTTTTCATATTTACTCAGTTCCTCGTTATTCACACAAAACAGCTCTTGTTTTTCTTATTTTGAAATATTTTATGTTACTGCAGCTTAGCGGTCGAAGGATTACCGAAGCACAAACAGTACAATGGCTTTTCATCGGCTGAAAAAACTAAAGCGGAAGCAGTGCTTCGTGATGCGTTTGTGAAGGCGGAGTCGTTGAAAGAACAGTTGAAAAAGATGTATGAAGAAGAAGCAGTTCTAGCAAAACAAAGTGCGGAGAGGACTGTTGCTGATGTATGTCTTAAATATATTCAACAGTTTTTTAGATTTCCAGTGGGATTCCTTGTGCATTTATATAATTAAATTTGTAGAGTATAAGCCATTTTTTATGTGTGGAATTGTATTTTCCCATCATTTATATGTTTAATGCAGAATGCAGCCTTAATTCGAAAAAAAGATGTATCTTCCATTCATGATATCGTAACACACAATCAGCTTCTCGAAATAACTGGTCACAAGGAATCAGGTTCTGCGGATGATGTGTTCGACAGCAGGTTGACTATTTTTTTCATTTCATAGCTTCTTACTGGGTTTAATGTTTTCGGTTATGGAGTTTATTTGATTTTGCAGAAATTTTTGTTAATGCATTCCATAAGCATCTACGATATGTTTTCAAGAACTATAAAAGCATTAATATTTTATTCATTTATATTTGATATATTAAAAATCTTCAGAATGAAATTAGAACCTGATGCAACCAAAAGTTATGTTTGCTATTTCATTCATCTATTACCTCAGAAATACTTCCGCTTTCAAATAGCGACATTATCATTTGAATAATCTTTTTTTTCATTTGAATAATCTTTTTTTCTTTGACTGTTTATGATCTGCTCAAGTGATTGGTGTTTCTGTGTAATTCAAAATATCAGAATTTTGATGTAATGGTTCTATTATTAACGTAATCAGGAATCTCGGTCATAAGGAAGTTGTTGTTGCTGGTGACCTTGTGGAAAATTTTGTGCGCTTGGCACAAATTAATACGAACCGTAATGTGGAAACATGTGGAATTTTATGTGGCTCACTGGTTAGTTTTAAATCAGTTCCATGCCATTGCTTTTTTTTCTGATATACGCTATGAAATAATAGTTCTTTTGAATTTTCTCTTCTTAGTCTAATTTGAGAAGGACCATTTTATATATTTAACATGGTGATTCTCTTTTAAATATTAAATTATTTTACTGTAATGGATTTATTACTATACTTTCGATAGCATAATATCTTTGTAGTCTGCGGGCTTACTATTTCTTAACTTAGGCTCATTTAAAAAAAATGACTTGCTGGTGTTTGAATTGCTTTTAATATTATCAAAGGCACACGGCAGATAATACATTTGGATAAGAAAGAACTGTACGTAGAGGGTGTAGAAATATTCAATTCAGCTGCTCAAAAAATGCACATTTTAAAACCAGCATTAATTTCCTGTTCACTTGGAATCTGTTTTTGATTGCATTGTTATAGAATATCATCTTTTGACGTTTTTTAAGATTGGTGGGGGAGTGTGTCGTATAACACATGCCGTGGTACCGAAGCAAACTGGTGCTGCTGATAGCTGTGATACACACAACGAAGAGGAAGTATTTGCATATCAAGATGTCAACAATCTAATCACTCTGGGATGGATACATGTATTTTTCATCACATTATCAATGGACTATTTTCTTGCTATTTAGTTAACAAGTTTTTAGTGATCACTTACTCACTGAACAAAGTGTAAACCGCTTCTTACATTCCTTTCCAGTTAGCACTTAAATATGTGGATTGATAAATTTTTATTAAATCTAAGCTGCAAGCTTTAGTTACCCCTACCGAAAGTTTGAAATATTCAAGCGAAGAATTTCTCCCATATGCGTTGTTAGAGAAATTTTTGACTGATACGAAGGTATTGCTATCTTAAAATAATGTGGTGAGTTTTCGAAGGCACGATTGATATAGTATGCAAAATTTTTTACTTATTTCGTTTATTGTTAATTTGATATATCCTGTATTGTCAAATTATTTTATTGCAGACTCATCCATCACAGACAGCGTTTCTTTCTAGTGTCGATCTTCATACTCATTGTTCCTATCAGCTGATGTTGTCAGAAGCTATTGCAATCGTCGTCGCTCCAAAATTCAATGAGTGAGGTTTATTTCATCTCTGCAGTTGAGAAAATCGAGTTGCACATCAAATCTGAAATGAAGCCTTCCTGTCTTCCTTATTAGTTGACCTGCTAATTGGAAGAGTAACAAAAATTTTATTTGTTAGCTCGAAACAATTTATAACTCTTACTTATTTAGGGTTGGTATATTTCGTTTGTCAGAACGTGGTATGAAGGAAATTGGCGGTTGCTGTAAAGCGGGTTTTCATCCACATGAAGACTCTACAGCTTTGTTTTTTTATTGTCATGATGTACGTTTCGAAAATTCGCTAGCAGCAGTTGTTGTTGATTTACGATGACTCACCGATATTTGTGGACCATGAGAATGGAGAGAATATAATCTGAATCATCAGAAGTTTTACGCTGTGTTATGATTTTTATCAATTTTTCAATTTTGTTATAATTTTTCTCGACATTTTTTAAGTTGTGAATTTAGAAGTTGTATATACTGTTGTTGTAAGTTTAACAAATATTTTCTTTTAATTTAAACTTTGCAAACCATAATATGATTTTAATGAAAATTTTCAAAATATCTTCGAAGCGATTAACAATAATGCTACAAAAATCCAATTTTTACAGCTTTCTCGAATTTTTGATGAGTAGTGGCAAAATGACCTACTTATTTGCTTTGGAATATATTTTGTTCTTCTTACATACAAATCATGTTAAGCTAATATCTAATATAAATTTCGTTTATCATAATCTTGCTTCGTCAAGTTGTATTAATGACAGAACTCTGGAACATGTAGTGTTTGCTGACTTTTTTGTTAAATTCTCCGTGTTTCATGATGAATTAATCTGTTGATTTGATGTTGCCTTCGTATTCTTTTGATGTGTTTTTTTTAGTGTGATTATGTAGATTTGTTTTCTTTACGAAAATCGTCGATTTTAGCTGATTTTAATAAGTAATAAATTTAATTGAAAAGTGTTCAATATACTGAACATTAAGAGGACAGAATTTTCGTGATACTTGATGGGATACCGAAATCATGATCTACAAAAGTTCCTAGTTGTCAACAAACTGTTTTTGAGGGAATGAAGGTTTGTTGTGGCTTCATTGTAATGATGTTTAATCGTATTTCAAGAAGTAATGCTTCAAGAATTTTCATTCAAATTACGGCTGGAATAATCTTTCATATTGATTGCCGTGATCTTCGAAGTAATTAACTGGTGATTATTGATAAATGTACTGTCAATTGGTAGATAAAAGAAGCTTTAAGTAATCTCGTGGCATTTAAGTGGAAAGGATTCGATTTGCAACTGGTCATATTTTTTGCTTTGTACTGGAATCTTCACAATTATTGTTCAATGACTAACGTGATGGGTGGCATAGAATTAATAGAACAAAAGTTTGAGAAGTGAATAAAATATCTAAAAAGTGAAACACTGAGGTGATCTGTTGGCCATTCTCACTATCAGCTGTTGAGTGTCGATCAGTTTAGGAAAGCACAGTTGTGTTGGGTAGCTTTTAAAGCATACTTTGTTCAGAGATGCTTCCACCCTGTTTCACTAAATTAAAAATTGAGTTGATTCATGTTTGTGATACTAGTAGCTGTCTTGTCTCTGATTTTGAAACTGCGGTGCTATTTAACCATCTTCCATCATCGCTTTCTTGTTAATCGTAAAGGTATTTCAAACACATATTTTCATTTTTTAAATAATCAGTTGTTTCTAGGTTTGAGCGATTTGACTGCTGGATTTTTAAGAAACATTAAAGTTGAAGTTATATGAGTAATTTTCAAAGTTACCGCAATAATTCCATCAATTTTCATGTAAGTAAAAGTCCCCGCATTATTTCTTGTTCGTAGCAAAAGCTGTTCATTTAAAGGTTTTTGAGCTTATCTGTTCAGTAAGTACTGAAATAATTGAAATTATTCTTCCAGTGCATTAAAAGAGTTGCACCCATCAGGAATGGTATAGAAATTTTCCTTCGACAAATCAAGGACAAATTTGTAGCAGCAAGAGGAATTTATTGAAAAAAAAAACTTTTTTTCTTTGCTAGAAGGACTTGTAAGAGATTTTTGGGGGTTAATGATTATTTGTCTGCTTGCAATTTTTTTCATCAGATTACCTGACTCTGGAAATATGAATTTCTGAACTTTAGAAATACGATGATAAAAGTTCAATCTTTATTTAAGAACAATCTGTTTAAAAATTGATGATTATCACTTTCATTCCAGACTGTACAGTTTTCATAGAATTTTCAGCAACAAAAAAAAGCAAGTAGAAAAAAGTAGAGCTTTGTGATTGGAATCCTTGTTTCATATCCATTTTCCGAGCAGAAATTAATGTTCTATTGATAGTTATTTCCTCAACTGCTCGAAAGGTTGATGGATTTTCTTTATCTTAAATTGCTTTGATCAGTTTCATCAAAATTTATGGAGTATTATACCTTGACAAGAGGGTTGATGTAATCCATTTCACTCAATACTTATCAAAATGATGGATACTCTAAAAGATGGTTGGCATCAATGAGAAAACATTTGTTTTCTCATTGATGCCAACCATTTCAGTCTTAATGTTATTATAGATAACTAAATATTTAATTAGATAATTTTCTGTTCTCGAGCGAGGATTGTTTTTTCTTTTGCTTACTTTGCTGAGTGCATTAATCAGTGAACGAGAATTAGTTTTAGATTAGGAAAAAAATATGAAAAGGTACTGCTACATAAACCTTTCTATCTGTATGTCTCGCTCGCTCGTTCAATCAATGTATTTTGAATATTTTATTCTGAGAATGTGGTGCTATTCAAAGTAGAGATGATTATGTTAGTGAAGTGGGAGGTTGTGGGAAAGATGTGTATGAGTGAGAGGAATGGAGAAGCTATGTGGATGGATCCTCAGCAATAACTAAAGCTCGAGCTAACGTTGGTGAGACTCGAGAACAGCGCAAAGTTTATCTTTTGCCTTTTCTAAAAGCGTGTGTAAAGACGTCAATGAACGAATAGATTCTTCTTACATTGAATGTAGTACAACGATCTATCTCTTTCTACTTATCTACTTCACAATATCTTTCAAATTGCGCACGTCGTCATCTATTTTTAGCGTAATAGGTTTTCATTTTCCTCTTTTTACACTTTATTGTAATCTTTTATTCATCAACATCATCCTTCTCAATTCCGAAAGCAACTGATTTTTTTTTCAGAATGTTACCATTTTAGTATAATTCTTATCACATTTACTAATCCCATAAGTTTTAATACCTGAAAACGATCATCTCGATGCTGCTATACTGATCTGGATCCACGACATTTTGTAATTGAAAATATGATAACCGTAGAAAATGAAGAAAAAAAAACGATCAATTCGTCGCAATAATGATTTCGTTTGAAATCTCATATATAACTTTTCTGATTTTTCTAAACAATACATTTTTTCAGCAAATGACTTGTTGTGTATGTGTGTGTGTGTGTGTGCGTGTGTGTGTGTGTCACCATATTCATTAAATCCAGGTTAGCTTGAAATATCAAAAGCTTTAACGAGAACTATGCATTGTAATGATTCTATGTAATTTTCTAACGCTTTTAAAAGAATTCAGGAGATGACGGAAGTGGAGGAGGATCCATATGCAGTAAGTTCGGATACTGATACTGAATCATTGAAGGGTCCACCGCCAAAGATCAGCATTGAGGGGCGGTCTGTTGCTGATATTTCTTCACTTGTATGCTTTTTCAACTTAAAGAACGAAACAGTATTTACATGAATAGCATATTTTGAATTTATTTGAAACACATACAGTCACATTTGCGCATTATGGAACAAGCTTTAGTTAGTGTTGCTTAAATTCAGTAACTTAAAAACTTTTTTTTATCATTTCTTTCTTCCTCTTGATTTCAAATACCATTATGCGAGGAATGAATGTTTGACCATTTGCACTAAAAGTTTTTATCAGTGATCCAAATTATTTGCTTTGAAAGTTGAACAGTTATACTGAGATCTCATTTATCCTATCAAACTCAATTTATTATCACGATATATGAGCCCAACATGAAATCGAGAAATAAACCATATAAAATTGCATTGTTCACTAATATAATATAGGCATGAAATTAATGGTTAGGTCAGCTTAATGTGAATGCGCGGAGTTTTTAAAGCAGCTCTTTCTTTGCTACTTAAAACTGGTTTGATGGGTCTCAATCTTAACTTCTTTCAAAGAATCCAGGCTCATTATGCACTTTACCCACCACTGATTTTATACGTAGTGAATATTTATACTTATCAATCTTAATAATTTGGAAGTGGAAGTAGGTGTACTTCGATTATCATGTCTGATGAACGAAATATACTTGCAAGATTGACGACGATTTACATTGTAAATCGTCGTCAATCTTGCAAGTATATTTCGTTGATAGAGCTGGTGGAAGGAAAGTTTTAAAAATCCAATTAAAATTTAAAATCGTATGCATTAAAAACAGTTCTACGTTAGTCAAATGATGAAGTTATAAGAATTAACACAAATTATGATATATCTTTGTCTTACCAGTCGGCTTTCAGAAAGCTGCTTTGAAAGAAACAAAAGAAGCATTGAAGGATGAGAAACGGCTTGAAGAATTGAATCAGTTGAAGGAAAAATCTGAAATACATAAAATAAAAAGAGACTTTATTGAGGGTATGCATTTCACTTTAAATTCATTTGAAAAAAACAAATTCGGATGAAAGATTCAGAAAATTTATGATTGCAATATATTTCAAAACATTAAGGACAATTAAGAATTCGTGATCTCATCGTATTTTTTTCTAAAACTTTGAAATATTTGTTCCTTATTAACATGATTTTTATTTTTTCGCATTCTTTTTCATGTTAGAGATTTCACAACTATGTAATTTTATGAATAATGCTAAGTTTTAGGTAAAACAAAAAGTGAGCTGGAGAATGAATCGAAGCCGGTGGATGAAGAACGTGAACAACTTGCAGCTGTCACAAAAGTATGCTTCGTTTCAAAGCTAATTCTCAGAAAAGGATGAAATCTTTTTCGCATCACAGAATACTTTTTAAAAATATTACTCATCTTCCGAAATCTCTATAATTTCATCATGAAATCTAAAATTGGATGGTGACTTGAACTGACTGCTTTAGCGACCACCTTCTTTTGCATATTCGGTCTAAATATCCATCATCAACGGAAATACACAATACAGTCAAATATCTAAATAACGCTGGTCTGATACTATGATTTTGATTCTTCACCATCATTTTTTTCTTTTTTTTGCTCAGTGATTTTGTAGTCTTTTTAGGAACAGTATTCAAAGTTCAGAAATAAATTTGAAAATCTCCCGGAAGTGATGAAGGAGGATCTCGAAGAACGTTTGAAAACCATAGAGAAAGAACTGACAGGTGTTGGAAAGGAAAATTTAGAAAGCATCAAGGACGCCTTCGAAAATCCTCAAGAAGGCGATAAAAGTGAACGCGAGCAAATTGTTATTGAACGTTCGGAAGCAGACAAAAGGCGAGTGATGAGGACATTTGCCCAGGTTTCCTATATTTTATTAATTTTAAATAATTTTTTCAGCAGCGTTGAATTTTACAATAAAAGTTTAGCTTGCAAGTAATAAACATTTCATATGTTTTTTTGTTCTGCATTGATACTATATCTTCAGCGAATCTCTCTTTTAAGAAGAAAAAAAAATTTTTTTTTAAGGCAAATCTTACAGCAGATGATGCTCCAAAGGAATGTGCAGTGTGTTTGAAAACAGTTTATCCTGTTGAAAGGATCTTTGCTAATAAGAGAAATTATCATATACAATGCTTTAAATGTGTCAAATGCGGCAAAAAATTAACGTGAGCCAATTCTTACTCTTTCCATAATTATGATATTCTTCGTTTAAAGAAGAGTTTACAAACTGAGATATTTATCTCAACTTGTAAACTTCCACCATTCAAATCATAACACTGACATTTTTCTAAGATTACCCGAGTTATCTCGCATTTGCTTAACTGAAACCACCATGAATCATCAAGCACTTTTCCACTCAGAATTTTTGACTGCTGTTCAGGTCGACGAATTACAACATACACGAAGAACAACTGATGTGTAAAGTTCATTACCTTGAAATATTTCATCCTGAAATTGCAAAAACGATGGACCCTGCCACAGCAGAAGGCTAGTTTTTTGCAAAACAAAATTTTTCACGATATCTTGTTGACTTTCCCGATTTAACTCAATTCTGTTATTTCGCCGATTTTATATTAGCGTCTTAGTAAAAAATAAATTGTAGAGGATGAAAACGTGGACGAAGAAGAAGAGGAATATGCAATATCGTCGAAGCCAAAGCAACTTGGAAATGATGTCATTAAAAGTAAATTTTAATTAATACAATTCTGTACCGGTAATGATGACTTTTTACTGCTATGATGCAAGATATAAATCTGTGTTCCGAAAAATTTATGCACCTATTTTGCTCCAACTTCCTTCTTATTTTCACCCCTGTAGCTATAATTTTTGTGAGAAAATCTTGTCGGTCATAATCTTATCTTTAAAAAAACTTATAGCGCTAGCTTTTTTCCATTTTGATAGGAAAAAAGGGCGAATCAATTCTTCCACGGTAAGTATTGTTCCGCTCTTGAATTTTTTCTTTTTACATTCCTGCACTTCCCTAGTCCATTCTTATTAAAAATTTGGAGCTCATCTTACTGTATTTGTTTAATTTAACTGCTCCATGTCCCATATAACCTAAAGACCCAAAATTTATCATGAAGAATAAAGAAAGGGATTATTTATCTGTAGTGATGAGAAATTATACATTGAAATGGTTTACATATTAATAGGATATCAGAGGGAGAAACTCCTTCTCTCATTTTGTATATATGTGTACTAGAGAGAAAAAGAGTAAATTTTCCTCCTTTAGTTTAGTATTCTTGAAATAAATCATTTCATGTAAAATATTCATAACTTATGACATAAGAAGGCGGGGAAGAAATGAAGGAAAGGGGAAGGGAGGATGTGATTTGGGTGATGACGATGATGGTAATAGTGTGACCGATTGAACTTCTTCGATACACTGACCATATTTCATCTATCTGTGAAATGGACAACTTCACTGGAGTTTGCGTATCAATTACAGGTGAAATTTATTCACTTCTCTAGTCACCGCTCTTCTACTATCTTTAATAATTACTTCTCAATGCATCTTTTAAAATGATCCATACAAATCTTGAAAATATTAATTAAAAATATGAAATTAAAATTTTTCTATTCTTTTCTATATATTGTTTAAAATGCTCGATGGGGAATATAAAAAATAGTCGGGTGAAAATTTGTCTTATTTATTTCATATTTTTTTGAGTACGAACAACAATGGTCTATAAATATGGTAAGAGACCAAAATTCGATGGATAACAATTTATTTTTCTGAAAAATCCATTTTGTACTCTTTTTTTCATTAATATAATGAACCCATATTGTATTTGCTGAATTTTTCCATGCCAGTTTAAAAAATTTTTGTCTTATGAGAAATTATGTTCTACCAAACTAATATTAATTAACGCGATAGAATATAGCTTACATCAACAGTTCAAAAATAAGCCTATTACAAATCATTTCGAAAGTTCAGTCACCATTTTCCTTTAAATCTTTTATTGAATTTGTCTTCTGGTTGCTTATAGCATTAAACAGTTTTTTGATTGTAAAAAAATAGTTTCATTCCATAATTTATTGGAATTAATCCAATTCTACATGATTTATCCTCTCTTTCTGCAAATTTAAAAAATTTTTGCCCGTGAGTATGTTCTTCCAAGACAGTTTTACTATTCTTCAGTCACTTTGATTTACTTCTCGCCTGAAAAGATAAATTTTTCAGCATTACTTCAATTTTTGCAGGCCTAGACCACCTTATTTCTTCTTTTTCTTTAAATCTCTTATTGAATTCGTCTTTCGGCTGCTCATAACATTAAAGAGTTTTTCTTTTTAACAGCATTAAACACTTTCTTCTATACGTCGTTATTTAAAATATAAGTTGCAAAAATGCTCTGATTTTTTTTTAAAAAAAGGTCATAAAATTATAAAAAGTCGGAATGCGAAAAGACCTTGAATATCTATCCACTTTTGCTGAGTTTCTATTTGTTACACAAACCTCAAGATACTGGTTATTTTTTAAAAAATATCCAGAGTATGAATTATAGATATTCATCTATAATAATTATTAACAAGATAGGGATTTCTCCGCGATATAAATTTCACAGCTTATGACGAAATAAGCATGTTTGTTCTTTTCCGTTGTTCATGAAGTGCACGAAAGGGGGAAAAAGTTATGAGAAAAATCAGTCGAAATCTATTGGCTTAACAAACAATTTTTAATCAGAATGTTGATAAAATTTTTTTAACTGAAGAGCAAGCAGTAGCAAGTTTTTCACCTTCTGCTTTTTAAATGTAAATTACTGCAAAGCTCGCTACTACCATTATTAGTTAGTTTTTCAATTGCATTTAAATATTAATGAGTCAGAACCATCAAAGGAAATGAACATAGCTTCCTATGATTTGAAAGTCTTGACATGTTATAAAGATAATTTTAGGCGGTACAAAATTAGACGATTTGTCCACTATCGGTTCATTAAAGGCCAGAAAAGGAGATTGGGAAAATTCTGCGAAAGAGGCAGAAGCTGTGCTTACTGAAAAGAAATATGTCGTTGATGAGATCATTTCTGGAAAAGTGAAAGCTAATTTGGAAAAGTATAGATTTTAATTGTATCAGTGATATTACTAAAATGCAAGTAGAATGCACTGATATTAATGAATTGAAATTGTGTGAGTATTGATTAATGTTGAAAAAGGTTAGTCGATACAAAATAGAAGTACAAGAGGAAATTTAAGAGTATGAAAAAAGGCTGATTATATTTAGCATTTATGAAGATGTTTTCAAAACTCAATTTAATGGTTTTACTTTTTTTTGAAAAGATTAAGAAGGAAGGAAAATGAGAAAAGGAAGTGGAATATTTGTTTTATGCCGTAAATGACACATTTAATAAAGCGAAATTTTTCTGAGTTAAGCTTTTTGAGTTTCGTAGTGTGAAAATATGATTAGCATAAGCATGAAAAATACACTAATAATTTTTCTGTAGATTTGTAATGGGTGCTGCTAATAAAGAAGAGGAAGAAGAGGAGGAAGAAGAAGATGGAAGGGATCCAAATGTCGTCCGTGAAGACAAAAAACGTCGTAAGGAGGAATTTAACTTTGAACGGGTCTGACATTCTTAATATTGGTGTTTCTTTAAAGTTTCAGAAATCATTGACTTTTCGGTTCCTTTACCAACGATTGATTCAATATCAATTTTTGCCCGAGAAGTTTAGGTAGGTGATATAAAGAATAAATGGAAAACAGGCAACATGCAAACAGCCGATGTCAAAGAAACGAAGAACGATCTGAAGGAACTACAGAATTGTCCCGGAGTCAAAGAGCGCTTCCAGGAGATGACAGAGGCCGAACAAAGAATTGTCAAACAATGGGACAGTAGTGAACTCAATACTTCAGGTTCCTTTTTCTCGTAACAGTTCAGAAATGAGTGCTGTCGCTTCTGCAATGAATACTGGTTTGTAGATAACGATTACCTTAACTTTATAATTCATTTCAAACTCCTTGATTAGGACAAGTCAAGTTCCATGTTTTTATCTGCAAAAATTATGAAGTCATGCCTTCGTGTTATGATATCCACTATGGCTAAATCAAGTTGATTAAAATGTTTCACTGATTAAATTTCTCCCAACTTCAATTTTTTCCAATGATTACCAAATTTGCGATGATTAAAATCTGAATTCAGGGGTAGCTGATACTCGCAAATCATTTTTGGAAGGTTCAGCATTCCAATCCGGACCGATTGAGAAAACTGCCATTGAACTTGAAGAACTTGAGTTTAAAAGTTCATGCTTTCAATTCTAAAAGATTTTCTATTTGACGTGCTTAAATAAGCACTTTTGTACTTCTTAAAAAAATGAATATTAAGAAAGTAAGATAGTCATTTACGAATTTATTGTGCCTAAATTCTTTGAATCTGATGATTTGTTTGAATAGTTATAAACTTGACTGAATAAAGATCTGAAGTTATTTAGTTAGTAAAATTTAGTTTGAAAGATAGAAAAAGCAGCTGCATTTGCCGGATGGTTTAGTATGTATTCAATGTCGTAGCCTTAAGCTTTTTGTAAAATGCAAGATCTGAAGTTTAAATTTCATGTTATTTTTTTTCATGACATTGTGTTAATTTTCTGTTTATCACTAAAATTAGCCAATCATGTGCAGATTATTGTAGAATGTTTCTCACTCATTTTTCGAAAAAATTTAAATTGATTTCATTAAATTGATAAATTTGTTCGCAGAGCTTCAAGATTTCAAAGAACGTTTTGAAAAAGGTGAAGGAGATATCCAAATCCAGAAGGTTGAGATTGATATACATGCCGGGGACCTCAGTGGTATTAAATCAGCGTTTGAAAGAGTAAGTATCACTAACTCTGTTTGTAATCACTAAAGCTGATGGATGAAATTAGTGTCACACTTTTAGATGAAATTCCAAATAAAAATTCTTGCTTAGCAAAGGTAAACAGACATAACATTATATCAAAAATAAGGGAAAGAATATACAATTTCAGGGAGAAGATAGTTTGGAAATGACACCAGAAGAAAGAGCGGAATTGAAAAAGAAGCAAATTGAGGAGGAGTTTCTAAGGTACAAACTTGTTAGACGAGCGGCTGCCCAAAGAGAAGCAGTCAAGGAAGTGAATCAATTATCATTTTTTATCAATTTATCAAAAAACTATCTTTTTTCAAGGACAAAAGAAAGGAAGAATTAGAAATTGAAGACCATAGAAGTAGTGTCTCATCTGAAATTATTCATTTTTTTTATTATTCGTTTACATTCAGAAAAACTGCACTAAAATCTGATTACTAATTTTTTAAGAGCTACAATTGGTGTCGTATTCTCGCGCGAAAAGAGTTTTAACTGGATGACTGTTTCAGTTTTATTCATCATTTTTATTTTTCACCATAGTTATTCTCTTAAATTTCGTAGATATTTGACGATACCGGAATTGAAGCTGGAGCGGAAATTCAGGTTGAAGCTATCAAAAGTCGTTTTGAAAATGGTAATTATTCTGCCAGAAATGAACATGAAGGTTTGTGCTTTTGACTGGTGACGCTATTTGATATTTGTGCAATATCGTTTTATGGCATGAAAATGAGGTCAGAAATTTTCAGACAAACAACTGGATGTAGAAATTAAAATGGCTGGTAAAGCTAGGCAGAAATTTCAACAAATTGATGTTGGAGGTGCTCAAACAATTGTTCCAGAGAATCGGGTAGGGATTATTGATTCAACATTATGTTAACAATTCATATACTTATTTTAATTACTAAAAATAACGCATATATCAAAGGACTCTAATTAAGCTTAAAATATTTTAAAGCTGATTTTTTATATCTATCCCTGTTTTTCAGCAGGAGAAGCATATAAGCAAGTGGGACAAAAAGGAAGGCGCAATTCCGGAACCAGTGAACAGGAGAGTGGTTGAAGATGAAGGTCTGTTAACAATGGAAAAAAGTTGGAGATAATTATTCTCCTCTTTTCAAAATTACAGAAAGATTCAATTTGCTAACATTATTTTATATACATCTTCAGCTGTTCGTCTATTAAGCGCTATTCTACTTAACTGTTGAGCTGTTTTGAGCTAAATTTGAAGAAATGCCCATTTTGTAATTAAAGGGTCATTTGTAACTCCACCCCTAATTGTCCTCCGTCTAATCATTCTTTAAGCGAATCGCAACGAATTGCACATTGTTAAGGTAATAACCGGATAAAAGGTTATTTTTCCTGCACTGTTCTATGATTACTTTAATTACTTTAATTCTTGTTTATTTCCAAAAGGAAATTGGTTGCAGAGAATGAAATAGAAGATGCCGATGCTTATGATGTTAAAAATCTCATGCAAAAGTTTACAAATATTGGCAGAGAGGAGGAAACAAAGATAAAACACGAAAGACCGAGTGATTTGGATGAAATTAAGGTATTCATGTGTGAAATCATTTGAATCCATCCACAAGTCCATTTTGCAAAAACAAATTTTGAGTAAGCCATTTTATAGCACTGAATGTATGATTCTCAATCAAAAGGTTTTTAGATAGCCGCACGTAATCTCAAAGAACAGTTTGAAAAAGTTGGAATGGAGTTCGAAAATGAAACAGCAGAGGAGAAGCGTAGACAGCTTGAAGAAGAATTTGAACGATTGAGACGTAACTTGATTTTCATGTTTTCTTCGACTGATTTGATATTACTAGAGTTTTACAGCGTCAAAGAAAAGGCTTTTACTTACTGCATACAATAAGTATACTGTGGAATTCAGCAAACGAAATCTTAATATATTAAAGGCGAAAAAGAAGAAGCAGCAGCTGTTCGTGAAGAAACCCCCGAAGAAGAGAAATTTGCTGGGAGAGAAGACATTCAAGTTGCTACTGATCACGCCTCAAAAATGGCTGCAAAGTGGGAAAAAATTCAGAAAAAGGAGGCTAAGAAAGCGCAAAGGAGTCGGATGCCTCCAAAAAATGCCACACAAATGGTTAGTCAAATAATTACTAAACAGTAAGCATTTTTCATTCTTTTTTTTCTGATGATTACTTGTTTCTGCAGGTCATTTCAGTTATCTGTGCCTCCTTACTCCTTATTTGTCGTCATATGGACCATTTCGTAGTATTTCTAATTCGTAATTTTGTAATTCTTTCGTACGGATTATAACTATACCGGTTCATTCTTGGAAATAATTCAAATTATGTCGTTGTAATCTAAATTCAAAGAAAAGCTGTACAGTACATCATTTTCTCCAAAATTCGAAAACTCTCGATTTAATTCATATAAATATATATGTCATGGTAGTTGGAAAATGCTTCAAAGCAAATGATGGATGAATAAATAAGTTGAGTTTTGCAGCTGAACGATACTTTTAAATAGATGTAGTATGAAAAACGTTTTGCAGGAAAAGTAAGAGAGGCAGAAGAAACATATTGTTAAGTAAGCACATTGTGTTTCAGTGTTTCAGTGCGTACTGAGAAGTCAACTTTTTCATGATTCAAAATTGTTTTAATCATTTGCTCCATTTATTTTTGAAGTAAAAATATTTGAAACACAACAATTCGTACATATGAAAATGAAACAAATTATATTTTTTTGCATGCCTTTTATATGAATTTTCATCTAATAAAAAATACACATGGAATTTATTCGTGTGTGCTAATTTAATCATAATCTTTTCTTAAAAAATATGCTTTCACTAACAAAGTTTAGACGTTTTAAACCTCTTTTTTGCCCAAGATTCTGATCACTCAACTTGCCGCACCTTCTGATGATAACGTCGGTAATAGTGTTATTGTGCATACAGCTGGGCTTATGTTGATATCTCGAAAAAGATTTATGATGTCAGTCCAGAAGGCATTTGGAGGACTGCCTGTCGGTGATTTGTACAGTGTATAGGATAAGAAGTGTATTAAAAACGAATAAGTTCTGCAAACTGACATTTTAACCTCATCGTGAAGTGCTCATTTTTTAAATTAACACTTCAGATTTGGAATGTGCGAAGTAAGGAATGCTATGTTTCTTCTTTTAATCAGGCATGAAATTACAATCACTTCAGATTTGGAATGTCCGCGCGGCATCTTCTCCGCTATGCAATTGCTGCGGTAAGGCTGTGTATCTTGCGGAACGTTTGCAGTGTTTCTCACAAATATACCACTTGAGATGTTTTCGATGTAAGCATTGCGGTCTACATTTAAGGTAAAAATTAAATTTTACTTCCGAAAAATGAAGCGGTGAAGATAAACTGAAGGGATTGTGAACCACTTCTGAAATTTTATAGATCATTGGGTCTCGCTATCGATTTCATGAGATTTTTCATATTTTTTAACTAATAACCAGTTTCTCACACTTTTTAATTTTTTTCAATTATAGTGATGAAAAAGATAACCTAAATACATTTGTTTGAAGTATTTATTTTCTATGATTTCTATCCGAAAATCTGTTTTTTTCACACCAATTTTTGTTCTGCCATATAAGGGGCTGTGATATGGTGATAAAAGCAAATTTAAAAACCAAAATTTTATCAGAGATGCCAAAATTTTCTAGCGGCTTATTGAGTTCCCATCTTTACGTCGGACATTGATTGCGCTTGAAAAGACAGATGGATAAAATCCATTTCATCCAATTGCTAGCCAGCTTTCGTTAGCTTGGATTGCTAAATCTTTTTGGATTAGATTATTATTGTAGAAATGCGTGTAGTGCAGCGTATAGCATGCATTTGGTTTGCTTAATGATAATGGAATTTGCATAATGTTTCTTTTTTAAAGAGAAAAAATGAAAGTAAATAATACTGCATGAATAACGTGCTTCTTATGTTGAAATTTAGAATAACGTGGCTAACACTGTACAACTTTGACCTGAGCTTTTTTAGAAATTTAGAGTCCAACACATTAGAGAGCTTTAAGGAAATTGAGTGCTTTTATTAGAGTTATAACGAAAAATTGCCAGCACAAGTTACATTCTCCTGAATTTTTCAATATTTTTCAGGACTCTTTAGCTTAGATTATAATATATCGCGATATTGAATTTATATTCAAGCTGAGCCAAAAAAAGTTATGAACTCCTAAAATCGCTTATTGCTGCAAGCATTTGTGTATTCAATTTTAAACTTTCATACCTCAAGAAGTATAGAGTTTTCCTCTTTTTATATTTGCTGCATGGTTTCAATTGCTACCAAAATGTTTATAGAGATTAAGTCAAAATTATAAAAAGTTCACTCCAATTGCTTAGATGTCTTCGAGTTCCCTTAATTGGAAAAATATTTAGTTCTATTTTCTGCATATTTCGTCAAATAAATCGGTCACAATTGGTGGGTAGTAAATCATTTGTATTCAAAGTTGAAATTTTTTAAAGATTCTGACAAATATAAAAATTCTTAAAGAAAAAATCTTTTTCTTTCTAATTCCAGTCTTGATTCCAAACAATCAGTTCTTTGATTTTACTAAGAAATTAATAATTAAAATCCCATTAGGTGCAATAAAAACGATTCATAATATTAAGAATAAAATAGTTTGGTAGGATTCTGTTGCTGATTTCCCTTTAAATCAGATAACTCTTATGATTTACGGCAATCGTTGATCGCTTCCATGCGTTTATTACTTTAAAGGAACTTTTGATGTGAGCGAATAATACAATTTTTTTGAAATTGCTTTTAGCATAACTCGCATGAAATGGAATTAGAAAAATGCAATTTGCTTGATTCAGACACCTTTAGAGTGGAAAATTGCCAGCGATCAACAGATGGCAGTATTTTCTGCGAGACACATTTTCGTCGCCTGTTTGTTGCTCAGAGTTCATATGTTTTTCGGCACAATCAGCAGTTTGTGATAACGAACTGATTGCTCGGCCAATGGTGCTTATCACATACTGCGCTAAACGAATTCAGTTATACTTCAGGGAATACATCTTTTTATATTGTAAATGTTATTTGTAATGTACAAAAGCTTTTTCAGTTTGATATAGGGCTCAGATTTGCTTATTCTCTTTTACTTAGACTCTACTACTGTTCGAAAACTATCTTCATTATTAAAGCTATCTTTTGATTACTGTAAGAACCATCCTTCGATTTGGTGAATGATTTATATTATAATGAAAATGAATACATATTCGATGACTATCGTAACTCTGCAATTCATCAAAAGATAGTTACAGATCATAACTGCATGGTGATAAAAAAAACATAAAGAAGGAAGTCAAAAACATTAAAAATGAAAGATTTCTTCAGGAAAAATAAAGAAAATTTAATGATTATTTACAAAGGTTGTGCAACGAAACAGCGGTGTTTCCCTCAACACCGCTGTTTTGCTGTAACAAGCAATTATCTATAAGTTGAATTTTTTAAAGTATTGAAATTTTATCAAGGGTATGTTTCTTCAATGTATAGTAAATAGTTCACAATTACATCTACTATACATTCCTTCAATGTGTAGTAGATATAATTGTGAACTATCAAAATTCAATCCAAATATCTTTTCAATAAATCTCGGGATTAATTGTGGAAACAAATTCGATAGAAATTTTCTTCGATTAATTTAACATTCCGCTATAATTAATTGAAAAAAGCTTTTGCAATCACATAAAATCAATAAGATTCCACATAAAATCAATAAGATTGCAAGAATGTGGAGGAAAATTTTATGTGCTATTCTACATTCCAGTTATCGATTGTACATATCTCCATATCTCCATGGAAATTTTTTTGCCGTTTTACTAAATATTGTGAAATTAACTTGAAGCTGATAGGTGTGCTCAAAAATAAATTTTTCTTACAGTTTTTAATGATTCATCTAGTTCTAGTCATTAATCATTGTAACAGTCTTGAAATTTTTTATGTCACAAACATCAATAATTTATAAACAAATTTTTTTTCCAGGAATTAATTTCTACAAAAAACATTTACAGTTATATTTCATACATTTAGAAAAACTTACAAGCAAATTCTATTGAACATTTAAAATATACCATCAGCGTACAAGGAGCACACTGATAACTTTCGAAAACGATATTAATGCAATTAATTCTTTGCAGTATTATGCCTCACCAAAACGCCGTTCTCTTTGCGTACCGTATTATCGCGTATTAATTCTTGTGTCATCGCCGCGATCTCATCTTCAATTCCTTCTCTGTAAATTTCACAAATAAGTGCAAAATGAAGTAATAGAAACAATAAATTATTGTTAAATACTTTCGTATGAAAAAAATCATCTCAACTAAGTTTGAAGTGTTTCATTCGTCTAAGTAAAAAATTCTTTATTTTCTTATAACTTTCAGGTTTGAGAAGTTTTCAAAGTTCATAACGCAATCATCGATATCACAAATATTATTACTAAACTAAACTCTAAATTCTATTTTCAATAAAATTCAAACTAAATGATATTCAATTGTACTTTTTATTAAGATATGAATTTGGCTCAGAAATAAGAAGCTAATTACACTGAATGGTTAGAATAGGCTTAGTGATAACTCCTCAGTAAAGTGTCTCTGTGGCTACCAATAATTTGAATTTAGCTTTCAACTATAATTTCGGGGTATTAAATCACTGCAATCTTTGCTGTTCAATATTATAATGGATTTCCCATAGTAATATTTCCTGATCTTTTCCATTAAGATCGCGAAAATGTTAGTTTTATCTTATTACCATTAACCAATTTAACATGGATTTTCTTCACATTGCTTCACAAGTTAATTTGAGTCTGGTCACTTGATTTTCGATCTTTTCGACGTAAGACACGATCAAAAGTTTGAGATGGTCCGATTTATTCTTCCTACTAACCAATATTTTCTTAGATCCCATAAAATGTTCAGCTTGCTTGAATTTGAAAACCTTGTTTACCGAAGTGATCGACTTTTGTGACCAACTTTGGCATGAGCTGTCTCACGAATTATAATAATTTCATACACTTCAATTTTGCTGGATTTTTAAGGAGATCGATTTAAAAAGACTGAAAGCACTGTATGCTATTCCAATTCCTTGAATGATATTTCCCAAGCAAACATCACAAAGTACAATACTTAAAACAAATTAGAGAATATTTTTGCCCTTAAGCACTTTATGTTATGGATCAGCAAAGGGTTAGCAAGCGCAGAACACATTCCTCGCCCCATCCGTCAACAATGTCGCCCAGATAGGAAGATTTTACAAATGCGCTTTATCTATTTTTATTGAATCCAAATAATCATGACGTAAGTCAGTCGAAAGTGCAGAAAATTTTCCCTATCGGTAGCTACACTGCCGTCAATTTTGAATTTAAAGGTATTAATCAATTATTACAGAAAGGATATAGTCAGTAGAAGTACCAAGTCACTATTATTAAGAAATGGTAACTATCAGTGAAAAGGAAGCAAAGAAATAGATGGAAATTATGTCCATTTTTGCTAATCAACAATCAAACATCAGTTCAAAAGTTAAATTCTCAACCGTAAACACATGCAACTACTAAGCGTTTCTTCTTAAGGTTTTCAAAAAATTTATTTTCAAATCCTCAAATCCTTTAAGAGACTATAAATCAGGGATGTTATTCTTCATTGAAAAAAATCAGAACTCATTTCTTTTTGTTAACTTACGCCAGAAAAGTTGTGAAAAAAAATATTCAGAAAGGCCTTCTTTGTGCACAACCTGCCTATTAGAATACCTTTGAACAAAATCAAAGCTATAACTTTGATTGTGATGGTAATTCAGACAAATATATTATTTGAGATTAAGTGTACCTGAAATGAAACGAGCGTAACGCGAATGGATTATGCGGATATGCATTGTGTACAACTGCGGTAACATTGTGATAGTCAGGACAGTCCAGTGGCGTTACATCCAAACAACAGAAGTAATCCACTTGATTGTGCCAACAACATACCGTTGCTGCATTAGGCTTCAAACTACATGATGAAACAATAACGGTTTT